TCGTATTGAATCAATTTCCATTTCCAAACATTGCATTTCTTATAAATTATAACTTACACGAGATTAAATGGATTCGTGATTTAGTTTGTTACTTTATTTAGATTACTAACTCAAACAACTTAATAAGTTAAATGGACGAAATCACGAAATCACTAATTAAAGTGGTGATGAAAGCATTATGCAATACTAATGTACGAATAGTCAAATATACAACGGTTAGATTGAATGCCCATGAAAAAACAATGGTTAGATTTTCATTACTTTATTAGTTATTAGTATTATTACTTATTAAGTTATTATTAGTTTTATAGTTTATTATATATACTGATATACAATCACAGACTCACATATGTCAGATATTGTCATATTGATGAGCATTAAGCCATTAACTCATTAAGTCATTAACTATGTCGTATTGAATCAATTTCAATTTTGAAACATTTGCGTTTCTTACAATTTATAACTTATAAGTAATAAACTAATAATAATAATAATAATAATAATAATAATAATAATAATAATAATAGTAATAATAATAATAATAATTATAATAATATTATAATAATAGTAGTAGTAAACTAGTAATAATAATAATATTAACAAATAATTATACTAACAATAATAATAATAATAATAATAATAATAAATAATTAAAAAAACGGTCAAAAAGACCTAGAAAAGCACAAAGAAAATCTAGACCGTTAGATCTAGATGAATATTCTAGAATCTACAAAAAAAAAAAAAATGAACGGTTAGATCTAACTTAGATGTTGAGATTGAATATGGACGGTTAGATCAACTGAAGTAAAACCTAAACCTAGAAAAAAAAACCACTCTCACTCTCTCAGCCATTCTCATTCACTCATTCAGCCGATTCTCTCTCAATCTCACAATCTGTCATAGTTTCTCTCTCTAACTTCTCAGTTTCTCACTCTTTCGTTCTGAAATTCTCAAGAATCTCAAGCTCAATTTCGTTTCATTTGTGTTTTGGATCTACATTTCTGATTTCTAGCTTTACATTCTCGTTTTTTTGTTAATTTTTGTTGTTTTCGTTTTGATTTTTTTCGTTTTTGTTCCGGTTTGTTTATTTAGGGTTTTTGTTTTCGTTTCATTTGTGTTTTGGATCTACATTTCTGATTTCTCGCTTTACATTCTCGTTTTTTTGTTAATTTTTGTTGTTTTCGTTTTGATTTTTTTCGTTTTTGTTTCGGTTTGTTTATTTAGGGTTTTTGTTTTCGTTTCATTTTTGTTTTGGATCTAAGTTCTGATTTCTGATTTCTGATTTCAAATCTTCCTCTCCTTCAAGCCGTCAAACCCTAAGGTAATTTTTTTGTTAATTTATTCGATTTTTTTCGTTTTCGTTTCGGTTTTTTTTTTATTTCAAGTTTTGATAATCTACATTCTTGATTTTTTCTTTTGATCTCCAGTTCAGGTAGTTCTCCATCTTCAAATCTCCTTCAAGCCGTCAAAGGTAATTACTTTTTCCTTTTTGTTTTTTTTTAATACAGTTTTTCTGTTTTTGTATTTGATTATTGTTGTTGTTCTTGCTTGAATATAGTCAAAATATGCCTAAAATGAGTAAAAAATGTTGTTGATTGTATTTTTGTTTTTTACGGGAAAATGGTAGATTTGTGCTGTTTTGTTGTTTATTATGCTCGATTTAAAAGTAATGATGATGGGTTGTTCAGATTATGTGATTATTATTGTTGGAATACATGCATTGTTTATTTATTGGGATTTTAGCTTTATATTTTTAACCCATATTGTTGGAATACAAGCATTGTATATGATTGGCTTAAAGTTAGTACTTAAAATGTACACATATGTGACTGTATCGTATATAACTTTCTATATTCTGTTAGGATATATGTTGTAATCACGTTTGTTGTATAATTCTGAATTTTGAAACATTGACTAGTGCAAATAAAATTCTGAAATATGAACTATCTATTTAGTTGAATTTTGGTATTGAGTGAATAGGATTCACTGTCGTGACTTCAGTGTCAGTCACATGATTCACTGTCTCTGCTGAGTTGTTATTGCCTATATTGTTGCCTGCATGAGCTGGTTCCTGCCTCCTGCCAGCTTGAGGTGATGTGTTGCTGCCTTTTGTGTTATGAATTTATGATAAGTTTTGTTGCTGCTGTTTCTTATGCTTGCTGTTTTAATTTTTCTTGAATCATCGTTGCCCTTGTCATTTATGTTGAGACTTCAATGTATATGTACTTGCTGGCAGCATTTTTCAAGTTTTAAGTTAAAACAGCCATTGCTCAGTGATGATACGATAAACGTAAATCTGAGAGCAATTTTGAAAAACAAAAATAAGTTCTTGCTGAGTCCCTTCTGCTTATATTATTCCTTGCTTCGGATAAGTTGTTGATCTGTTATTGCGTGTGCTGGTTCCTGCTTGTTGCTGCTATTTCCTCTGCTCTTGGGTGCTGGGCTGCTGCTTCAAGATTCTGCTTCAAGATTCTGCTCCCAAATCACTCACATTCTCACTCCTCCCTTCATCTTATCATGTATCATTTTTTGCAACCCTAAACTTGATGATGTTTCAGTTGATAAATCTGAAATCTAATCTGGGTAGTAGTGATAGTAGTTTCATTATGTATTGGTATATGTATTGTGAATTTTAATCAATGAAAATGGTGACTTTTTTTAATAGCTTGTTGATATTACTCTAATTTTAATGTTATTTATCTCCAATCTTATGTTATCTTATTGGATGATCATGAATATCAAGGAACAATGAAGATAATTTGGGTGGACTTTATTACTGGAATGAAAAGATACAAATGATATATCTTGTAATTAAAATAAATAAGTAATCTAAAACGATATTAATAATGTCGTTGGCCTAGATCTAGGTGATATAAACCTTTGTATAAACCTAAGCCGTTTGATTAGATCTACATTTATTAACATTAATTATTTAATTGTATTTACTATTTATCCATTTAGGTTGTAAATAATTCAATTTGAATTAAGCAGTTTGTAATTGGATAAGTTTAAACAGGTTGCGATTCGAAAACAGTTCGATTTTAACGGTTTAACGGGTTATGGCAGTTCTGTTTAGACGGTTAGCGGATTATAACAGTTCGGTTTATACGTGCGGTTTAAACGGTTTCGGTTCATAAACGGGTCGGTTTAAACGGTTAGCGGGTTACAAATGGTTCGGTTTAAACGGTTTTTTTTCGGTTTAAACGGTTTCGGTTTATAAATGGTTCGGGTCATTAACGGGTTTATAAACCATTCGGTTCGGTTTCGTTTCGGTTCGGATTTGCGCAGTTTGGTTTGTTATCGGTTTACGGTCCGTAACGGGTTGACATTGAGCGGTTCAATTCGGTTTCGGTTTGATATTGAACGGTTCAGTTCGGTTTTCGGTTTACATTTATCGGTTTATAAACGGATCGGTCCGTGATGGTTCGGTTCGGTAACGGGCGGTTTCACGGTTCGGTTTGAAAAGTCCCACCCCTATACTCTACGTATTTGATAACCTTTAATTATCGATGATGGAGTATATTTGGTGATCGAGTTTCAAGTTGAATACTCTCTATCGTATTATAATTGACACGCTTGACTTAATTTCATTAATTATATATTTTCTTTGACTATAGGTTTTGTTTTTGTTTTGTTTTGTTTTTTTTTTTTTTTTTTTTAATTTTTATAACTAATGTTGTAAAAATAAATATTGTCATAACGTCTTTCAAAAAAAAAAAAAAAAAAAAGAAAAGAAAAGAAAAATTGTCATAACAATGTTATTAAACGGTATTAACGATCTGGATGAGCGGTAAATTGATGTTTGATGGTGTCGGGTTAAGAAAATGGTTCATGTGAAGAGGACTAGATTAGGAGGTAAAGATTATTCCCCAACCGACTTTAGATTGGAAAGACATATTTTTGTGTTTACAGGAGGGCATTATTTTTTTTTTTCCCCTCAAATATCCACTACCATTTATTATCAACTATAATGGAGAAATGAGTGAAGATGGAACATTCACTCGCAAAGAAGAAGAGAATCCATAATGATAAAATAAATCTCTCCATATGAACCTCACATATAAAAGTTATTACATAAGTCAATATAATCTTTAATACATGGTCAATTCTTGAATAACACAACATCTATATTAAAATGCCTAAAACACCGTTAATTTATACGTATGGCTTTGCATATCTTTTTTGAACTAGGTTACCTCCCGTGCTCTGAACGATAATTTCCATTAAATAATATTAAAATTAACACTATATTGTAATTTCCAATAACTATTTTTTTTTTAAATTAACACTATATTAAAAAAAAAATTAGTTTTGTATGATATATTTATATCAATTGAATGGAACAACAAAATTTGGCTTGGCAAGAAAATATCACACTAATAATAATCAACATGTGCCGGTCTAGACAAGTTTTATTGAAGTATTCATAGTTAATTATAGTATAGTATTAATTGATTAATATTCTTGTCATAAATAATTCAAGGAAATAGCAAAAATTTCATTAGTTGATTTGATATGGGCATTTCATTATTGAAGCTTATAGCTTAGCTTCTATTGAGAAAATATATAATCTTATTGTAATAAACGTAGTACGTACTACGGGCCTGTTCATATTTACTGAACTGAGCTGAACTGAACTAAACTGATTGGAGCTAAACTGAACTGAACTAACTGAACTGATTGGAACTGAAATGAACTGAACTGAACTGAACTAAGCTGAAATGAATATTTTATGAGAGAGGGAAATTAAGAGCTGAACTGAACTGATTGAAGCTGAACTGAACTGAACTGAAAATAAGTAAATATGAACAGGCCCTACGTATGACATACATAATACATACATATATAATATGTACATATATAATGTATGTCTTTCCTAAAACAAATACTCCATATGTCACAAATATGATAAGAATATAATTTTTTTATTTTATCTTTTTGCTTAATTTAAGTTTATAGTTGTCAATATTTTTTTTGGAAAGACGCATCAAATCTTCTATTATACTTTATACATTATACATGTAAAAGATTTGATTCTTAAATATTCTTTTTCAAAAAAAAAAAACAAATTAAGGACACACCAAGAGATGACACGTGTCATTGCGGGTGTGTCTTTTAGTATATAGTTATTGATTGATGATTATTGATAATAGAACACCCACACATTCATATAGATCTATTATGAATTCATTATAGGTTTGATACAAACATGAACACCCCTATTCAACCAATCAACCATTAATTTAACTATCTTATTTGAAATTAAGAATGGATTCGTACTATATAAACCAATTCAAACTCTAACATTCTCTTGAATAATTGAAAACAATTTTAATCTGTATATAAATCTACTCTAATCAACAATTATAGCATGAAATAACTTACTCCGTAACAAATAAAAAAAAAAGTAAATTCATTTTAATTCATCACATTATTACCGTCTACCAAACGAACAACTAGACGTAGTCTAGTTCATCCATTGTCATCGTATTGACATGTCCAAAAGAGGTAGATAAACACTTCAACAGAAGACAAAGAACAAAACAAAAGGAAAAGAAAAAGAATAGAATTAGAAAGTTAAAAACAAAGAAAACGCCAAAAAGTTAGAAGTGGAAATAGCACCAGTATTTGCTGGAATAGGAGAGAGAAAAACTCACCTTACCTCACCATTATGCTTGCAAATCCAAGTTTTTTGATACCATTGCATTGTCAATTCACTCAATTTCGTAAGTCTTTCTACTTTACTGTTCATCAATTTTGATGTTTAGTGTAATAATTTGTAATAATTGAGTTTGAGGGTTTCAAATCTGTAATTTTGGGGTTCATTGATCTGATTTCGTCGATTAGGGTTTATGTTAATTTGATTGCTAGTTTACGGAATTTATAGAAGTAGTTAAAGTAATCTATTGTTATATTTCAGTTAATTTTGTAATTGAGTGATTTTGTGATGTTAATTTATATGGTGGTTTTTGTTCCCGAATGAAAAAAATTGTTCAAAATTACTACTTTTTTTTGGGTTTATGATTTAATTCTGTTTATTTTGGGTTTATGATTATCAAGTTAGCTAGAAATTGAAAATTTGGTATTGCAGGTGAATATTTTGTTATGAATTGCCAGTGTCAAACTAGTTTGCTGGGTTTCTAGCATGATGGTGAAGATTTCGAAAGGCTGTTATGCAGCAGTGGAATCATTGTTGGTATGAATTAATTGATTCATATAAGAGGAGAGGCGGAATTCGACGATACATTCTGCATTAGTTAGTTTCAGGACTGTTGGGGAGTGCTAATTATACATAAACTTTAAAAGGGTCTTGTTGTTCTGCTTTCTGCAATGTCGAAGGACTCGTATGAACGGCAGACAAGGAGCTCTTCTGGTTAGATATTTTTATTTGTTTTTGTGCTTTCATTTAATTACGCATTTGCTTTTGAATTACTCAGCTATTTGATATTAAGGTGCATTCCATGAGTTACAATCTAGTGTAATCTTGTCTACTAGAATTATACTTTTAAGTTATGATGCCTGTAGACCTCTTGCTTGTAGCCATATGAATGGAAGTAATGCCGCGTTGAATTTTCCAAAAACTGGCTCTTTGGCGAATCATTTGCAATTTGGTGGGGGTGGTGGGAGTCCTGAACTTTGGGTGCTTAAATGCTTAAAATATGTTATGTTTGCAGCTAGACTCTTCATGTGCTTCATCTGTTTTTATTACCAACCTAGGTTCTATGGGTCACAGGAAGTCTTATTGATAAATAAAGTGGACAAACTGAACATCTGCATAGCATTAGGTGGCAGTTTTGTACTCATTTAGTTTTGTCTCAGTCTATTAGTAGGAGGGCCACAATTTTATAATCTAACTACTTGTAGATATTTTGAGATGCACATATTTAATATCGGTGAATATTTTACTTCGAATGTTGTGATTAATAAAACCAAATTTAATTGTGAGAATTATGAGAGGGAAAACATCTTAAGACAAAACTGGTATATAGTAGAAGCTTTCTTAACTTACTTGAAATTCTAGAAATGATAGGAGCAATATGCTTTGTGCAACATTAGTTGGTAGTTTTGGTACAAATGACAATGCTAGATACCATGCACAATGTAAGCCTTACTGTAAGTTTTTATTATAGAGGTTAATTTGGCACGTAACTGATCATAATCAAGCCTTCCCAATCCTTCAATTTGAGGTTTTATCTGTGAAGGGGAAGAGAGGTCATCCTCCATATGTGTGTCCTTATTGGGATAACTTGGTCGCCTCTACGTATCTTGAATTGAAGTTTTGGGCCGTTCAATTGAGAGATTTGTGTCACAGAAAGGTCAGAAACCACCTTTTTGGTTCTTCTTAATGCAAATGATAAGGAAGTAGGAAGAAGAATGCATCTAGCATAAACTTTTAAGGACAACTTGACGAGAAAAGCAATGGACCATTGGTTGTAGAAATGTTTAATACTAAAATGATCATTTCTCATCATTGAACTTAGGTGTACAGTAGTGAAACTATCTTGAAGCTTCTCAAATGAGAGGAAAGAAATGAGAAATTGAAGGACATTAGTTTTAGAACAATTTTTGTAGGATGGATTTCCCGTGTGAAGGTCAATAAGTGGGTTGAGGGCATAAACTTCTATTTGTCGTGTTACCTAACGAAATGATATATGAAACTATTACGATTAGTGTATTAGAATTTTCTACATTTTGTACTTTAGTTTAAGATGTACCAGTTTTCTTATTCCTCTTTTAGAATCAATTGAATCAATGGTATGTATAGCCTTGCAAAATTCTTATGAAGTCTAACCAGTTTATGGAGATCTCATTTTGACCCTGTTAATTAGGATTTCATTATAACGTTACATTGCCTTGTTTTGTGAACGGTGGATTGTGAGATTCTGGTAATCAAGTAAGGATTTTGGCAATCACCTTGCTTCAGTTACTAATGATGCATCTTTTGTAAATCTTTAGGGATTTCTTGTCATTGTGCATCTGCCCGTCTTTAATCGCAGTGGCTTGTGCACTGGTGGTTTTTCTTAATGTTACTTCCTTGCTAATTTTCAGATCATTTGGTGATTTACTCCTTTAGTGTATATTTTAGCAATATGAAACCACTTGTAAAATGATTTCTACACTGTCTTAATAAATACACTTGTCCTATGATTCAATATGTTGCTTTACTGTGCTTGGTCCATCGGGTTTGTTTACTGATGTTAGGAACTGATTTGCAGTTTCTTCTTTCAACTTATTGATTTTTTTTTGTAAAAAAAAAAAAAAAAACTTCAAAACAGTACATTTGGAAGTCCTTTTTTTGGTAAAAATGACTGAATATGAGGGAGCTGACTCAGCTGAGGCCTGAGATTTAAATAGCATTACATCAGCTCTCAATTCTGTGCACAATGGTGTAAAACAATCTCAATAGAAGTATAGGTTGAGCAATAATCTTTTAGTTGCTGAGGCTTTCATGGAAATGTGATGACCAGTGGAGAAAGCTCAATAATTCAAACCAGATCATTAAAGGCACAATAAAGCTTATAGTGTAGAATTGTAGATCCTAAACGTCAAGCTGTAATTATTGTGGCATTTGACTAGGAGGAGCAACAAATGATATTTTTTTTAAAAAAAAATAATTAAAACTATGGATTGTGTAATTGGGAATAACATGTCTCTCATGTTTATTATATTTAATATTTAACAAATGCCTCTATGACTCTTCAAGGTGCCAAAATTTCTACTTCCTTAAGTTGTTTGGTTTTCTCCCTGTTTGCATGATGGTTCTTGGTGAGCCTATATTAGTCAGATGTGTTAAAGTTGATTGATGACCGAACTGCTAGGTCCCACTATTGTTGTGCTGTCTAGGAATCTAGGCTACTTAGTATTGCTCCAAGGTGATACTTCAGAAACAATAAATACTACTTATGGCTGCATTGTATAATAGGATTTATTTTTATAGGGATAACCGGAAAATATATGCAGCCATGAGGTGCAAACTATGCATTTACCCTTAATCTTTTCTATTCATCACATAGATTTATTTAACCCGGAGTGAAATTGAGATTCAATATTGTTAGGATATGCCTTGAATTAATTAGCCTCCTTTAAACGACCATCATGAGGGTCTTGCTTTTGGGCCTAATTTTCGACCTATTATGTTTTCTGTTTTGGGGGCTACGATATAACCTATCTGGGTTTTAACCTAAGCACTTCTCTGTAATCTGTACTACCCTCAAGATCGATAACTATCCTCTCGCCAGTCCGTGGACCTAACTCATCGTTAGTGACTCACGTAAAATCCTTGTTTGTTTTTGTTGATTGTGTGAATCTTTCTTGTATTTGTTATAACAATTAACAACTTCACAAAATGTTGTGAAGACTATTGTTTTTGGCTTGATTGTATTTGATTGAATAGTTTTGTTGTGGCTTTATTTAAGGTGCGATAGAACAAGAGCACAAATGTCAAATGAAGCTTCAAAGACATAATTTCTAAAAGAGGCCTTTTCTTTCAGGGGCAAATAATTTCTTTCAGGGGCCAATAATTTCTAACATAAGTGTTCGTCTAAAATATAATACTCCCTCCGTCCCCGATTGATAGTCACTTTTGCCATTTTTGGTGACTCAAAATGTTAGTCACATTTACTTTTTTCAAGTACCATTAATATAACTTTTTTACCAATTTTTTCTAATATTTGCAAAAATATTTGTGCAAATTTAACTTTCCCATATAAATTTTACTTTCCCATGTACTTCAATTACTTTCTCTCTCTACTTTTTTGCATACCAAATGTAAATTTACCTTTTCAATGTACTTTTTTAAATTCTCCTTAATTCCCGTGAATTTTCTTCAAAAGTGACTATCAATCGGGGACGGAGGGAGTATGTTCTAACATAAGTATACGTCTAAAATATAATATGTTCTAACATAAGTGTACGTCTAAAATATAATATGAATGAAATCAAGAAACTAACTTTAAGCATACATTCAATTGATTGACTAATTTATTTACTACCTCTGTTAAATGTTATGTGCAACTTTGGAATATTTTATATCTCACAAATAATACCCAAAGTTGCACATAATATTTAACCGAGGTAGTATTATCAATGCATTACTATTCATAAATCACAAGTATAAATCAAAAGTTAAAAATAAATTATCAATTGATAGATATTAGTAGAGAAATAAAGAATGACATACCAAAAGTAAAATAGTACTCTATATTCTTAATTGAGTAATTTATTGACTTTAAATCTTTGATAACGTCTTATCGCCTAAAATTATTAATTTGTTTTTTAGTGCATTGCCTGATTAATATAGCATAGAAATTTAATTAAAATATAAAAAAACTTAAAACCAAAAAACTTAATGAATACCTGATTCATCAATTGGATGTTGGGATTGAATTGCAATCATGAAAAAAGTAAAAATATTTATCAATTGTGTTGGTGAACTTTGAAAACGTAGTAAAAGAAGGAAAGGGTTTGGGATTTTGGGCTGTCAGTAATTTCTAGGGAATTGGTAAATTGAGTTACTGAAAATTAGCATTTAGGAGTATACTGACTTACTGAGTATGTTAGCTTTCTTCTGTTGCTACTGCTTGACAAATAAAGCAAACACTTTATTTTTTTAATGGGCTTTTACATTAATCAAAATATTTTATCCAAAAAGTTATCAGGGGCCAAGCCCCATTGAGCCCCTATTATGGTCCGCCCCCGAAGACATTGTCTGACTTCAAATTATGCTAGTTTTTATCATTGTTCCTTCCGCTATTCCTTTCTTTCTACAGTATTATCTGCTGTAAGTATATGAACTGGGCTTTATAAGTCCCTCACATTTGGCTTTGAAGAAGGGGGCAAGTCCTCCCCGCGGGGGGGGGGGGGGGGGGGGGGGCTTCTAGTATACAACCTATTAAATATTCACCTGCAAGGTCTATATCCAGAAAATACCTACATTTTATGAGTACCAAGGTTTGTACAAATACTAAATTCAATCCCAGAGGCTTTTAAATGAGCAATCCTTTGTCCTTAACACCCAAGATTTTGTTCTTGTAGGCTTGTAGCCCATCTTTTCATGTGTATGTGGCTAAAATCCAATTCTGATGCTTAAGTCTTTGGAGAAGAAAAACAAGCATTGTTTTTCTTTGAATAGGCTCGATTTAGTCATGTGCTCTGTTCTATATATATATATATATATATATATATATATATATATATATATATATCCCATGCTTTATTTATTTATTTTTTTTCATGTAATGATACTCAAATCATTTTTGTTCGTGGTAAAAGTTGAAATGATATTGTTTTGTTGCTCCTACAAGGTTACAAAAGCCTGCATACTGAAGGTTTGTTAATGGTTTATGTTACTTTTTCTGTCTTTGAAGTAGGTCGTTGTCTACTCCTGCTTCTTTTGTTGCTTCATTAGATTGCTCCTTTGTATTTTGAGTTTGTTATTTAGGCACTAATACCAAATGTATCTAATTGCCAACAGGCATATCCCCTGACCAAGCGTCTATTGGCTCTGGGACAAAGAGGTCCAGCGTATCATCAGGCGGAAAGAATCGAGATAAAAAGGAATTTCTTCGGAGATTTGTAGACAGCAAAATATTTACTTCTAATTTGGAGGAGTGGTTTGAGGCTGTATCAGATGATTCAGGACAAGAGACATTTGATGTGCCTTTTGAGTTGGTAGAGCTTCAGAAATTTGATTATGCATTAGAAGGGGTTTCTTTCCAACAACTTATCCGTATGCCTAGTGCTGTCTATGCTTCTACATCTGATGGTGTTGAAACTACAGCATTTCTAGCAATTGAGGATTTCCTACATGCATGTGTAAAGGGGTTGTGGGAAGCATTTTGGAGTGATGGAGAACCTTTACCATTCTATGTTGCTTGTCTTAATAATGAAAATATGAAATTCTATCAAGCTGAAAGAGCAATTGCCAATGGTAAAGTAGGAGGTCTCTGTGCAGCTTCTATTTTACTGAAGAATGCCAAACATCCACATGGTAAATGGGATGAAGTGCTCGAGCTGGCTCTGTTGACGCCTGATATTGGAATCCTTGCAGAAAAGAATGTGCGCCTTCCTCCTCTGTCCATATTAGGTGAAGCTTTATATTTTGCTCTCCGGATGATGTTGTCTAGAAGCCTTAGCAAGAATAGTTTTCTTCAAAGTCCAAGCCCTGTTTTTGTGCTTCTTGTTGATTCTCAATATGCTGGTGTGATTAAAGTTGAAGGAGATTTGAGCAAATTGAAGCTAAATGTAAATAATGTATATGAGTCTGCCACAGAATGGATAAAGCATCATTCAAATATTTCGATGTCTCCTATTGATAGGATATGGAATAAGCTTGGAAATGCTAATTGGGGTGATATTGGTGCCCTTCAGGTGCTTTTTGCAACTTACCACTCCATCCTGCAGTTGGCTGGAGTGCCCAAGCAGTCTATTGAAGATCTGGCTGCTGACCACAGCTCTCGTCTTCAAGCAAGAAGGTTGGAGAGGCAACTTGCTGACACCACAGTAAATGGACATGGCTTACACCAGTATCAGCAGCGCCATGGCTCCCCAGAAATTGTTGAGGTCCTAGATGAATCCAACAGAAGGGAGAGTGCTGAGCCAATGAATCTAGAAGTTGGGTCAGTTTTATGGTTGGAGGATTCAAACCACCAGAAAGGCTATCAGATTAGTGAAATTCGAAGTGATAGTGAACTTACTTATTACATAGCGTTTTCTGTTGAGGACCCTGGAAGGTCTCTCTTCTTATACATTGGTTCGCATCCCTCTCAGGTGGAACCTGCTTGGGAAGATATGAATCTGTGGTACCAGGTTCAGAGGCAAACTAAGGTATTGACAGTGATGAAACAGAAAGGTCTATCCAGCAAGTACTTGCCTCAACTGGTTGCTTCTGGTAAGATAAGTCACTCTAGTCGTTCTAGGAGGTCAAGCTCCAGTGATGATTCCAATCATCTTTGGTGGGGAACCCCTGTCCTTGTGACTAGCCCAGTTGGTGAAACAGTAACTGATATGGTCAGAAGTAGCTGTTTTGGCTCAGATGAGGCTATCAAGTGTTGCCATGACTGCTTGTCTGCACTTTCTACTGCCTCTTCTTCTGGCATTCGACATGGTGACATCCGACCAGAGAATGTGATATGCATTACTTCAGGTGTAAGAAATCCTTACTTTGTCTTGGTTGGGTGGGGTCATGCTGTGCTGGAGGAGAGGGATCGGCCTGCATTGAATCTTCACTATTCATCTACATATGCCCTTGAAGAGGGTAAGTTGTACTCAGCATCTGATGCAGAGAGCTTAGTTTACATGCTCTATTCCTGTTCTGGTGGGGAGCTGCCTGAATTGGATTCAGTTGAAGGGGCATTGCAGTGGAGGGAAAGGGCTTGGTCAAAACGGTTGATACAGCAAAAGCTTGGGGATATTTCAGCCGTTCTTAAAGCTTTTGCTGATTATGTTGACAGTCTATGCGGGACTCCGTATCCTATTGACTATGATATTTGGTTAAGACGGTTGAAAAGACATATTTGTGAAGATGATCACGGCAAGGAAATTGACATGTCAGGGTGAACATACCTTTTGAGAACCCTTCTCTATAAACCAACATTTTTGCTCTCCAACATTGTAGCAGGGAAATCTGGAACCTGAGGCGAGCTGTGTAAATAAATCAGTTTGATTGATGCCATGGTTGGAAACTGGGTGCAATCCGATGAGGGGATGACATGAAAAATCAGGGCCTGTAAAGTGTCTGTGAAAGTTTGAGAGCACTGGTTTGAGGGGCTACTTTTGGGTACGTTGATGATCAGCTTTCACGTTTTGAGCTTATCGGAGGATCTGACTTTTGTAGCTTATATATATATATTTTGCGGCAAGGGTGGTTCTCAGTTTCTTATCACACTGGGGGTTTTATTTTAATATTTTTTTTGGTATCAAATTCAAATGATTTGTAATTCATTTGTAAAGAATAGGATGTCCTTTTTGGTTCGTTGAGAAATCTGGGTTTTGCTGCTTGTATTGAAGTCTGTTTATTGATTAAAAAAGGAGCCCAATTAATGGTGTAAGTTCCTTACCGTAATGTTTGGATGATGTCCAGACATCAATGCTTACTAATCTTGTTCAGCTACTCAATTTGAAATAAGACACTTGCTCGGATAATTACTCCGACATTCAATGAAATAACTGCTCACATCCCTGTACATTGCTATCAATTGCAGCAGCATCTTCAGCGGATCTATACTTGGTTAGTATTTAAAAAGACAAACCACAATCACTTATATGACACATGCATCATAATTCACCCATATGCCACATAACACATTCATTAATATTTCCTCTTTATACTCCCTTTCAAATTAAAATATAAAAGGGTTTTTCTATATAGTAACCCTGTTTTTTTCACTTTTCTACGTTGTGCCCAAACATATATCACTTTCTACACTGTAACCTCAATATATTTTTTGTTTCCATACGGTAACCTTGCCGTTAAAAATCAAAATTCAAAATACAATGTTTTCCCAATATATTTTCCCAATATATTTTTTGTTTCCATACGGTAACCTTGCCGTTAAAAATCAAAATTCAAAATACAAAAGGGTTAAGTTAGGTTACATCAGAAACAATGTTTTGTTAATTCAAAATACAGGCAGCCCTATCAAATTACATCATTCTAAATCAAGATTAGCATTTTCCTAATTCTTAAAGTTGTGTTAGTAGATGCAGCTTCTTTAGTTACAGGAATAGGCTCCGTTGAAGACCGACAAAAAAAAACTAGCCGCCACTTCATCACCAAAAAGCCACCCTGAAAAATAAAAATTGGAGGAACACATGGCAGAGTTCATAGATGAACTTATGGATGAGTACATTCAGCATCAACAAGCATTGGATGATGAATTCATAGAAGATGAACAAATTGAAGAAGAATATCCATGGTGGTACGATTCAGATGATGATCAAGAGCAAGAACAGGAAGTGAATGATGACGGATATGATGCAGATGATGATGCAAACAATGAAGAAGCACAACAACATGTAAGAGCAAGCAGAGAAATGAATGTAGAAGAGAAAAGAGCACTTGTTGATGAGATTATGTTGCACATGGAGGGGGACTCACTGCCAAGGGGCTTCTTAGCCAATTTGGCTAGAAAACATTCAGTGCACAAATCACCAACAACAATGTGGTTCAAGGTAATCAAACAATCTCTTGCTGAAGGTACTGTTGTTGATGTTAATACCAAAAAATTAGGCAGGACAGGAACCAAACCAAAAGTGTACACAGATGAATTTCTAACATCAGTACCACTGTACAAGAGAGGGACAGAGAGAGGTTATGTTGCAGCCTTCAAAATACCAAAGACATCACTGCACAGACTCAGGCAACAAGGCAGGCTGAGAACACACACCAGCACAAATCATCCAGCTCTTACAGACAAGCACAAAGTGTCAAGACTCAAATGGGTCCTAAGTCACATAGATCCCATTCCAACAGAAGGGGACCCAAAATTCAGAGACATGCATCAGTGGATACATCTAAATGAGAAATGGTTCTTCATTAATCCAGAGACTAGAACATTTTATTTGTTGCCTACAGAGGAAGATCCATACAGGGCACAACAATCAAGGAGATTTAAGATAAAAGCAATGTTCATGGGAATGATTGGGAAACCCTTGTTTGATGAGCAAAACAACATGGTACATGATGGGAAATATGGTCTATTTCCTTTTGTCAAGTATGAAATGGCCAAAAAGAAAAACAAAAACAGAGATGAAGGGACTCTAGAGACAAAGGCACTTCAAAGTGTCACAAAAGAATGCATTAGGGACATGCTACTAACACATGTGATTTCAACTATCTATGAAAAGTGGCCAGAACAGCTACCTAAGGACATCTTCATTCAATAGGATAATGCAAGACCTCATCAAGTTCCTAAAGATGAAGAAGTTCACGCAGCTTGCCATGCAAATGGATTCAACATTCAATTCATTTTCCAACCAGCTCAATCACCAGAAACAAATGTGTTAGATTTAGGTTTGTTTAGTGTCATTCAATCACTACAATACCAATCATTCCCAAGGAATCTAGATGAGCTCATAAAGGAAGTTGCTAGAGCTTTTGAAGAGTTTGATCCAGTTTTGAACAAGTACACATGGATCACACTACAATCATGCTTGATTAAGATACTAAAGAAGCAAGGTGGGAACACCTTCTCTCCCCCTCACATGAAGAAGAGAAGTTTGGACAGTCAAGGTCTACTACCACAGTTACTAGAAGTTGACAGGAATCTCATTGGTCAAGTTGTTCAATATTTAGATTCAGTGACAGTAATTGGTGATGATCAAGGACACATGGAAGTGGATGCAAACTGAAGCACATGAGGAGAACAATGCAAATGGAATAGGGACTCAACACATGACTGCCACACATAACCTTTTAATATTCTAACAACTTTTTGAGTGAGTTTATGTCTAGGTTATGTGTCCTTTTGGTAAATACAAGTTACACATTTATTAGGCAGTCATGTATTCATTATAGTGTTAATATTTTGTTTAGTGAAACATGTAATCAACCCAAATAGTTAAATGTTTTGTAACTAATATTTCCATCAGAATGGGTGTTTTTTCAGTCAAAGCTTTGGTGAGTGTTGGTACCTTAACAAAACCTCATACAGAGATTACATGAGCATCCACACCACCCAAGTAGCTATCAGGTGAGTCCCATCATCATTTGGAAAATAAACAAGGTACGTATTTACAGTTGGGGGGACTCAATGCATTTTAGGGACTCAAATGCTAAGGAAGGCCATCTAGTACATGCATCTATGATCAACCAGGAGACTCAGAAGGGATGTGTTAAGCATTAAACATGTGTTAAGCATTAAGCACGTGACATGGTCCAACTAACACAATTAAAACCTTTAGCAACCTAGAGCACAACCCTAGGACAACCATAGCACAACAATAGCCACAAGACAGAGCACAACCCTAGCACAACCGTAGCAGCACATTAGCCACAAGACTGAGCACAAGCCTACCAGCACACAACATAGAGCAGAACCAAGACAACAAAGAGCACAACCATACCAGCACACAAGACAGAGCAGAACCAAGACAACACAAAGCCCAGCCCTATGAGCATTCAAGATACAACAGAGCCAACACAGGCTATCAACAACTCACAACCAACATAATCCACATAACATCATACAGTGCAAAACCCAAGTAACCAAACAACAAGTTTTAAATACAGCAAATACACAACACAATACAACAACAATTTTGAGATTTACCAGTACACACAAAACATGATCCAACATCAAAGGAAGACAATCACCATCGTAACAAACCAAACATAATCCAAAGGAAAACAAAAATAAACCAGGGTTTACAGAGTATACGCTGCGCAATCAGTTAGGAGGAGGGTTGAATTGAGGGTAGTAGATCTGCTGGTACGCCTCAATCACCTCTTCCCTCGACATCCCTCCAGGTGGACCAGATTTGATCCTCTTAGCTCCGTTAGAAGGCCCTTCATCGTCGTCGTGGGACTCAGGTGGCTTAGCTACCTCAGAAACCTCCAGATCTACTGGGTTTGACTCCCCAGTAGCAGATCCAGCAGCGGAGACCTCACCCTCATCAACTACACCAGCAGGAATATGGTGAACCTTAGCAATCGAAACCACCCCAAGTGGTGGTTCATCACCGGCCATAGCCACAGGGACCACTTCCCGAGGCTTCTCCTCCTCATCGCTCAACTTAGCAAGTTTTGCACCACGGATCTTCCTCCTCGATCGCAATCACTGAAGCACGACAAACGGGTTTCATGTTTCCCATTCCTCGCTGCGGCTTATAGGTTACACGCCCAGATCGGCGCTTAGATGCAGTTGATTCAAGGGTCTCATGGCAAAGAAGATCGAGTTCTTTGTCCGTTGAATTTGACATAGTGGGACTCAAGAAGTAGAAGAATAGAACAGAACAATGAAGGAAGGAGAAAACCCAGACCGCAAAGACAGTGACAGAGTTGGAGAGAGAGAGAGAGGAGATGCTAAACGGCGAAGAGTGAGGAGTGAGAAAAATATGAACTAGGGTTTTGGGGGGTTAATATAATCTGGAGAATTCTCTAGAATAAATGCACCCAACCATATTCATTTGATGAATTGAATGTTGTAGCATTCAATTGAGTTGGTTGGGATGATGTAGAATTTAAAGAGTTGGGTTTTTTTTTTTTGGTGGGAATGATTAATCTAATTGCTCAGTTAGGTAGTGTAATTATATTAGGTTAGTAGTATAATAACATTGGTTATAAAAATAAGTAAGGGTAAAATTGTAATTTTACCTAAAAAAAGTTACTAAATAAGGAAAAAAATGGAAAAGTTGCAAGTAATGGGGACCGGCCCAAAAAGAAAATAGTTGCAACTAATTTGGACCGGAGGTAGTATTTTTCAATTAGTATTATGTGCACCATGGTGCACCTAGAAATAGGTGCACCACGACTATACTTTTAAACATTTAGTAAAAAAATTTGAACATTTTACAAAAAATGAACATTTAGTAAAAAAATATGAACACGTCACAAAAATTAAACATAAACATGCAATTTTTATGTTCATATTTTATTAAAAAATGTTCATTTTGTATACATTAAAATGTTCAGTTTATATTACAAAACTATTGAATTATTACGAGTCAGTTCAAAATTTGTCTGACTCATAATAATTCAAAATTTGCGATTGTTCAGATTTTTTTTACTAAATGTTCAAAATTTTGTTATTGTTCATATTTTTTTTTTACTAAAAGTTCAAAATTATAGGCGTGTTGCATTGCGATTGTTCAGATTTTTTTACTAAATGTTTAAAATTTGCGATGTTAAGATTTTTTAACTAAATGTTCAAAATTCTCGATTGTTCAGATTTTTTTTTACTAAATGTTCAAAAGTATAGACATAATGCATTGCAATTGTTCAGATTTTTTTTACTAAATGTTCAAAATTTACAATGTTCAGATGTTTTTACTAAATGTTCAAAATCGCAATTGTTCAGATTTTTTTTTTAATAATTGTTCAAAAATATAGATGTGGTGCACCTAAATCTAAGTGCATCTTAAAATTTGCCAGTATTTTTTTTTATTATAAAAATAAACTTACAAAAATAACCTTTCTTGAAGATCTAAAAAAATCAATTACTCGTAACCTTGTTGTCTCTTCTCAAATTCTCAATGCTCAGTTGTTCGTTCTGAGCTCTTCCTCTTTCTCCGTTTCCCGCTTTCTTCTGGTTTTCCGGTTTTCCGGTTTTCCCTCTTCTCTACTACTCTACTTGCTTTCCATTTTCAAAGCACTCGATTTTCTAATCAATTTCTTTCATCTTTGATTTCTAATTTCTCCAATCGCCTTTTAATCTTTCGCTCCTCCATTGAAGCCATCTTCTAGTGTAAGATTATTTTTCTTTAACCACTGAAATCAATTTTACATTCTAGGGTTTATTTTATGCAATTTCGAGAAGAATTTTATGCAATTTCGAGAAGAATTTTATGTGATTTTTTAGCTTTTTCAATATTGGGTTTTTTTTATATGCAGCTTAATCTGAAATGGGTAGTGACGCAAATTTAAAATCATGGGTTTCGGACAAATTAATGACATTTCTTGGCTACTCTCAGCCTACTGTCGTGCAGTATATAATCGGTTTATGTAAGTATAAATTTTTAGGTTCAATTTCTATTTTTACTGAAGTCAAATCATTGAAATTGTTTGTTTTGTGAAAATTTGATGAATTTTATTTGGTTTTTTTGCAGCAAAACAGGCTTCTTCTCCTGGGGATGTTGTTGGTAAGCTTGTGGAATTCGGGTTATCATCGTCAAGTGAAATCCGAGCTTTCGCTGAAGAGATATATGCTCGTGTTCCCCGTAAAACTTCTGGTGTTAATGTGAGTTTTATGATGAATTTGATTTATCAATTTAGCTGTAGTACTAGTTTCTGTAGTATAACTTACAATGTGGAACATAGATTAGGAACCTAAACTTGTGAATTGGTACATTGGAACACTTTTCGGAGTATAATTAACAAAATTAGGTAGCGAATTGTGTACTTGTACTTGTTCCGTAAGCAGACTGAAATTGTAGCTTTATCTTTGAAAAAGTATCCTGTAATGTGCCCACACAAGTGATGCATATAGTTCAGGACGGTGGAAAGAATCTGATACTTGAGGGATGTTCATGATGCTATTTCTCAGGACATGTTGATAACATTTGAATGTTTTAGACTTTTAGTTGGTGGTGTTGAATTTGATGTGTAATCAATTATTGGAAAAAAAAAATGCCGAGGAGATTGATAGGTGTATTGGAATACTAAACAAGATTGTATTTCCCACAAAACTTCTGGAGTTAATGTGAGTTTGCTGTTGAATTTGCTGTATTGATTTAGCTGTAGTACTAGTCAGTGTAGCTTTAACTTACTATCTGGAACATAACTTACGAACCTAAACATGTGAAATGGTACATTAGGACACTGTTCGGAGTAATTTAACAATATTAGGTAGCGAATTGCGTACTTGTACTTGTTCGGCAAGTAGACCATGAAATTATAACATCATCGAAAAAGCGCAGTAGAGATATAGATAGATATATTGGAAAACTGAACAACATTGTATTTTCTTTTATCAGCTTTATCAGAAGCAAGAGAGGGAGGCGGCAATGTTGGTTAGGAAACAGAAGACTTATGAGCTTCTAGATGCAGATGACGACGATGATCGTATGCCTGTTTCCAATGCTGAGCCAATGAAGAAAGAATCACACAAGAAGCGGTTCAGGAAGAAAACTGACAATCCTGAGGATGAAGATGATGAGGCATAGTGTTTACTTTTTTTTTTATTGATTGATCAGTTTTCATTGTTATGGTAAGCTGCTAGATGATTAATTTATGAATTGACTTGTCATCTTTGTTGTTGACTTTATGCCATACTGCAGGTGACGGTAAGCAGAGAACAAAAAAGACAGGTCAAGAGAAAATATTCTGATGATGATGATTCTGAGGTATGCACTTGCTGATTTTTTTCAATTCATCGGCCTTCCCATCTCCTAGTCTCATAATTCTGAAGTTATTTTTGTATTAATCTGGGGAAAAATTTGGTTGGAATCTAAATTTGGGGGTACACACACACACACACATATATATATTCAAAGTATGTTTAATTTCTACATGAGGTTGCTTTCTGTTGATATTTTCTTGATTTGTCTATTTCATAAACAGTCAGAAGAAGAAAGAATACGTGACCAAAAAGAGAAGGAAGAATTGGAAAGACATATGAAAGAAAAAGATGCTGCTCGAACTAGGAAGGTAACATTTCTATGTCAGGACGGTTCAAAGTGGACTAATGAATTCTGTTGCATTAATTTTGGTTTTATTTTTAGTAAAATGCTTTTTGCTGTGTTTCTTTGTTCCATTCTTGTTCTTTCCATGCTTTGTGGTTTGGCAATGACACCACTTTTATTTACAGCTAACAGAGACGAAGTTGACGAAGAAGGAGGAAGGTTAGTTACAAAGAGTTACAATTTCGTCTTAAGGGGACTATTCTAAAGTTTGAAACTTCAAAACCATTCTGTTGTTCTATTTACTTTAAAGAAAACTTCATTTCTGTTTTGCAGAAGAGGCAATTCGGAGATCTAATGCTTTGGAGCAGGATGATATAGATGCACTTAGGTTAGTTTCTTGCTTAATCTATAGTTATATGACTCTAGCATTTGGCATAATTGCATCTTACTTCAATTTTTGAACTTTTTCCAGAACATGCCATTGTTGATTCATTGCAGGGAAACCTTTTTTTTTTTTTTTTTTTGTTCTCTAAAATTGAAAGCCTGTTGCTCTGCACCTCATTATTTTTTAATGCCTTTTTGGCCTCAAATTGCCTCCTCTCTCTTTCTCTTGCTTCCTCTCTCTCAAATTTTACAAAGGATACTAAAAAAAATCCTGATTTGAAAATAATAATTAGATGTACATTTGTACATAATTTCTTTGAAAGTTCTTGCTCGTATGAAATTTTTGGATTTCGTAGAATTCCACAGAAAGATCCTTTTATCTTATTTATAAAAGCTGTAGAGTGAAGGGCCATTATATTATGTGTGCTGAGAAATACTATCACAAATTAATAATGAATCTTAGAGTGGAACCGTAGTCATCTGAAATCCAGCTTAACCTTAGAGGCTTTGTCATCATTGTGGTGTGAAGATGTTGTTATGCATGATTTAGGTGGAAAGTATTATGCATTCAATTGAGTACAACTGTATCTCTAAATATTTTGTTTGTATTTATGTAGTAGTAACAGCTTCGTCATTTGATGAATATAAAGGTGATATGAATCGTTCCTTAAGGGTTATCTTTATGTCTTTGAATCCGACCTAGCTCTCTTTGTTAAATAGCATCATCAACTTTGGACTTCTGTCGATATTAATACATGTTTTCTACTAGGTTAATCTTTATCATGCAAAATTGAGTTGAAGAAGTGCTCCCAGTCTCCCATCATTGATTGTGTTTCGAACTTTGATGAAGCTTTAGATGATTTTAACTCGATGTTGAATAAGACTAAAATGAGTTTACTCTGCCTTTGAGACACCCTCATTCTGGTTTAATTTGCTTTTGTTGCTGTTCTTATTGTGATTACACTTGATTCTTAATGGTCCTACTTTGTCTACTTTGTCATTAGAAGGCTTATTAATTTCATCAATTTATTGCCCTGGCTCTTAGGGTGGCTCCTTAATGTGCTTTGTAAACCTTACATTGTTTTTGTGTGATGATTGCAAATTTAATTCTGGTCACCATGAGATTCCTTACTGATATAGTATTAGTAGGTTTGCAGCTAAAGAATTCTGTTCCTTGTTTCCTGTGCTGATGTTGCTTCGTCTTTGTTTTGCTCATCTGCTGCAGAAAGGTTTCAAGGCAAGAATACTTGAAGAAAAGGGAGGAAAAGAAATTAGAGGAGCTCAGGTATGTCTGCAGTAGCACCTTAAGTTATTTTTTTATTTTCTAAATTGTTAAATAGGATTGAGCTCGGGTAATTGGCTAGTTCATGTATTTTTCGCCTTTTCTACCTGATCTTATGTTTAATGTGATGCAGAGATGAGATCGAAGATGAACAGTATCTATTTGATGGTGTTAAGCTTACTGAAGCAGAGCAACGCGAATTAAGGTGATTCTTTGTCCATGTACTTAGTGATGTCTTTTAAAGTGTCATCATCTTCATATTCATTTGCTAGAATTGTTAACTTATTTATCTTCCTCGTATTTGTTTCATATTTCACAATCTGAACAGTACTGTCTTCTGGAGTCACTCCTATTGTGTTTCTTTTTTCTGTAGTCTTAATATGCCTCTTGCTTTGCATTATTGAAATTGAGGTGTATACTGCAACGTTTGATGTAATTTAATCATGTTATTGGTGGTTTTCATGTGTCCTAGACTCCTAGTAGAGTAATAGCCGGTGTTCACTGTTCATCATATGTTTTTTTCCCTTAAAATTTGTTTTATAATATTTTTGTTTTCATGAAAATTCATGTGTTTTATTATCAGGCTTCTCTTAAATTCTTTAAACATCCTTATGCTGCTGACGATTTGAATCCTTCTCATGTGGCGGTTTTGTTTATGGCATGGATACCATTTATAGTTTTAGGATTTACTTGGAACATGCAAGTATGCAACACAGCTAACCTCTAGTCCTCTATAAGTTTCTGCATGTTCTAGGGCCTTTAAAGTTTCTTTAGTTGTAATCTGGTTACGTTTTTGTTCAATTGTTTCAATGTGTTTTTTGATTAAATATATTTGTTTGTTATTTTTTTAATTTATAGCTGAATGACATTCATATTATCACAGGTACAAAAAGGAAATATATGAGCTTGTCTCCAAAAGGAGAGGAGAAGATGCTAGTGAGATAAACGAGGTGATTTGTCTTTGTTGTTTTTTCTCTTGTGATTGCTGTTTTTGAAACTCCCCCCCCCCTTTTTTTAATTTTTTTTATAATTATTATCATTTCGCCCCCCCCCCCCCTATTTATTTATTTTATTTTTTAAATTTCAATACCTTTAGTAAGGTGTACTCGTCCGTTATGCTCCTGAATGCATCTTACTGTATCCGATCACATTTCCTTGTTATATTGGGCAGTTAATCAGTTATATGGCCACTGCATATCCATCAAAAATATTTTGTTTGTTTGGATGTTTTTTGGATTATTTTGTTACAGGTCAGATTCATCATCACCTTCAACCATTTTTGCCACAAGCATGTTTATAAGTTTATTAGTCCTAAGCTAGGTTTGAATTTACTTGTGTATAGCCAAATCCTAAGTAAAAACTGTTATACAAGCTTCATAAGTTTTTAAAGTTAGAAGACAAGTAATTTTAAACTCTGTTTATCGATTCTTTGGACATAAAACATATCTACTAATGAAGTCAGTGGAAGTCTAATTATTTTCCTTCCTAAAACATGGATTCAAATTGTGTTAAGATTACCCTTGGTTCTCATATAAAGTGCTGTCTGTGGGCTTTCTGATAGTTTGGTGTACATGTATTTGCTTCTGAATCGCAGTATAGAATGCCAGATGCATATGATGATGTTGACGGTGGAGTGAACCAAGAGAAAAGATTTTCTGTAGCTTTAAATCGTTACAGGTATGTATATATATATATATATATATATATATATATATATATATATATATATATATATATATATATATATATACGGAGTGGATTTTAATTCATCAACACTTGGCTGTCAGTCTAATTACGTTTTCTGCCTCTTTCTATTTGTTCATTAGGGATGGTGGTGAATCTGGGGGTAAGATGAACCCATTTGCTGAACAAGAAGCTTGGGAGGATCACCAGATTGGTATATTTATATTACAAGAAGATTTTGAAGCATATTTTCATATTCTTCATTTTTAATTTCTTTTCCTCTCTAAACTGAAGCCCTTTCTTTCAGGAAAAGCAACCCTCAAATTTGGTTCCAAAGATAAAAGGCAGAATGCTGAAAGCTATGAGTGAGTCTTGTTTTCTCGTTGGTTATATCTGGCTTTATTGCTGATGTCTATGTTTAACTTACCACTTTTATTTGTTTACTTTTAATTCAGATATGTCTTTGAAGATCAAATCGACTTCATAAAGGCCTCTGTAATGGATGGGGACAAGGTAGAATAGATTATGTAATAATTAAGATCTTGTTTGCTTGTCACTTGTGCTCGTATATGCTTATAAGTTATAATTGTTGTTCTTTTTTGCAGTTTGAAAGTGAGATGCTTACTGAGTCACAGGAAGAGTCCAAAGCAAAGACCGCTTTGGAGAAGCTTCAGGTTTTTAATCCGTACTCATATTTTCTTGTAGTTCAACCTTCAGAGTAAAAAAAAAAAAAAAAAAAAAAAGTAGCTAACAAAAAAAAATAAAAAATGCTGTATTTAAATGAGATGATTATAATTGAGTAAATGACTGGCATCCTGAATTCTTGCTTATAAACAATGGAATCAGAGACTTATAGATGAATGAGTTTGAAGTGGGTAATCATGCTGACTTCTAACTTTGATATATAATGGATGTGTGTATGCCTCTTTTACTATGATCAGTTGTGAAATTACCTTATTTAACTTGTATTAATTAATTGTGCAATTACACCCAACACTAATTTCCCTGCAAAATTCTCCATGAAAAAGAAAATATGGCAGCCATTTATCCATGATCTCATGTATTTTATTTTTCTTTGCTAGTATGCTGTCTTCTTATTGTTGTTGCTGCTGTTGTTGTTTTATGTTGTCTCGTATTGCTGACTGTTGTGGCGATGAAAGATTGGCCACATATGGCTGTACAAACTTCTGTCTATCCTCATGTTGTATATTGCCTAATTAATTGCCACAAGTATGATCTACAAATGTTGTACCTCTTCTTTTTATTGTTCTCCTTCTGTTCATTAACCAAGGGATTAAATCAGTTTAAAGTAGCTTAAACTTTTGATGTCTACTTCCTGAGCTACGATATTTATGCTTGTGGTTTTGCATTATGCAATTCTATCTTCTTAAGTTTATTTTATTTGCTGAATCTGGATGTTTATGTCTACATTTCCCTGTTAGTTGTGGGAGAAGTCACTGTTTTTGACATGATTTTGTTATTTAACAAATTTAGTATGTTTCCTTGTTTTCCTGATTTTTTTTTTAAAGTGTAAGAACTTGTATTAATATAGTTCTGTGACTTTGTCAAAAAAAAAAAAAAAAAAAAAAAGTTCTGTGACTATTCATTGTCCTCTGACTTGCCAATCTTGCTTTTGACGGTATTCAGCCTTTATGGAGTTGCTGTTTTTTTTTTTTTTTTTTTTTTTTTTAAAATTTTTTTTTAAAAATAGTGTTAATGTGTTCTTTGATCAATAATCTATTGTCTTTTTTCCTTTGGTGATTTCTATTTTGTCGGTGCTTAGGAGGACCGGAAAACCTTGCCAGTCTATCCATATCGTGAACAGTTACTTGATGCTGTCCGAGATCATCAGGTATTTCAAACATCTGATTAAATGCTATGTACATCATACTTAATGCGCTGTCACTGCTATGTGATGTTGTGGGTTGTGACCTGTCCCCCTTGTTTGTCTTGTTAGGTCCTTATAATTGTTGGAGAGACTGGTTCTGGAAAGACTACTCAGATACCCCAGTACCTCCATGAAGGTGGATATACAAAAGTTGGAATGGTAGGTGTTCTGTGCTAAGTATATGTAATATCAGAACAAATCTTTTGTCTACTGTTTTGTTTTGCAAGTATATGTTCTCATATGGTAGTTGTTCTTGTTCTGGATTCTGTTGTTGTATTAAATTTTCTATCTCATTCTTTCTTTCCCTGAAAAATTTAGATTTGTTTTTATGGATGTTAATTCTTTCTGTAAACTGTAAACGTTATATTTCTTGCGAAGATGTTGTAATGTTTCTCCCTTTTTTTTTTTTTTTTTTTGTGTGTGTGTGGACTTGCTTCCCACTGCATGTATCAATAAGAACCTTGGTATTACCGTAAGCTAATGCGAAGTGCTTATGAAGCTTTTCTTTGCTTAACCGCTCTTGTGTTGAATTAATTCTAAGCATTATGCTTATAGAAGCTGATATGCGTATGTGCATGATTTTGTATTGTTGGGCATATTCAAGAATGGTTAATCCTATTTCCTCATTTTGCCTTAATCATTTCACCCCAAACAAGAAACTGGTATTCTGTTCTTCACTCCCTCTTTCCTACCCTCACTGTTTTAGATTCCCCGAGTCTCCAACCTGTTACAGATCTTGAGAAGTCATCCACTACTATTACTCACTTCAACACCAAATCCACGTCAACTTCTAATCCTCACAATTCCCAACCACTTGTCACCTGTAAGGCTATAACCCTTTCAGATCATCCCAACCAGCAATCGTCTACAATTACCACTCTTTTCTCAGTCTACCTCTTTTATCCTCAGAACCATCCATCGCTAAGTCCTAGCTATCACCACTTTTATTGTCCATGGTCACTACTTTCTTCTAGATAATACCTTCATTACCAACTTCTCCCAGCCCCAGAACCTTCCCTTCCTGACTATTGTGGTTCTGTCAATGGAGGTTGGGTCCAATTATTTCCTGGTCGAATTTGGCATCAAACTGTTATAGGAAAGAGGCGAGGGGATGTTTGAAGTTTCTTTTACGTAAACCAAAAAAATGAAAGGATTTGCTTGGTAAATAATTTGATTTACCTCCGCCCCCTCTCGAGCCAAACAAATATTCAAGTTCTGGGATCAATTCTCTACCCTCTCTAGTATGAACCAAATGGTCACTGAATGTGTGTGTGTGTTTTTTTTTTTTTTTTTTTTGAGGTGGACTAGACTCATAATTAATTTAAATGAAAAATAGTTGCTGTTTAGTACTTGACTACCCTACTACAAGGAAAATGACTGCTATATGCACAGTTGTGTAGATGCCTGTAAGTCGACATGTGTTAGTTTATGAAAGTTCATGTATACTCGCTTTTCTGTCGAGATACTCTTGTGGGTTATGTGGTTTGTGTAGTGAGAGTATCTAGTTATCAAGAATTTATTTTATCTTCTTTAGAAGCATACTGCATCAGAAATTTCAATGAACTTGTTCACGTGTCTGTTCTGGATATGCCTCATAGTTGCTACTTCTATGAGTTATGATATTTGTCAAGCACTGGTTAGAGCTCTGACTTCTGACACCTGTAGGAGTGCAAAATAGATTCTTGATTGCTACATTTAAAAGTACCTCCAAGCCAATTATTCCATTGTAATTCTAGATCAACCATGTTGTATTGTTGGAGAAGACTACTATTAGGATGTGTTCTCCTCACCTTATTTTTAAATTTGAACTTTTGCTCGGAAATACGTTTTTAGAAAAATATTTTCAGATAAGTTCATACAAGTTACGTTCAGGATAAAAGCTCACATGAGTGAATTATAGGTGAAGTTAACGCAAATGCACCCTAAATAGGTTCTGGTTTAAGGGAAATAACAAGAAGAAGCTTTTGTCTATACATTATTTAATCCACCCTTTTGACAATGGTTTGAGTTTTTATAATACTATCATGAGTAAATTAGCTGGATGCATTTAGATATTGTCATAAATTCCTGAAAAATCAAAACTTTGCTTTTCCTGTAATGCAGATTGGATGTACTCAGCCAAGGAGAGTTGCTGCCATGAGTGTTGCTGCTCGTGTTTCCCAAGAAATGGGTGTGAAACTTGGGCATGAGGTAAGCTTTGTTCATTGGTTGCCGATTTATGTCACTTGTTGATATCGTACCTTTAAGGTCTCTGATATTTTTAAAGGATGGAGGGAGTATATTGCTTCATGTCTTACATGAAATTCTAAATACTGAAAAAGGGTGGTGAAATGTTAGACATTAGGGTTTTGGATTTTGCTTTGCTGTCTTTTACGTTTTTTTTTTTTTTTTTTTTTTTTTGTCCAACTAATTTTTCAAAAACAAATTGCCATCTTTGCAGAATTTATTCTTGTAATTGTGGAATTTTGTAATTACTTGTGACTTTGTGATGTGCTAGAGTTTAGTTCGAAAACAGAGGATGATTCAAGCAATCAAGAGAAGTGAAATAGCTACCCAGATATTTTGTATTGCAATCCCAGAAAATTACAACACAAATGCCCTCTTTCGAGAGAAGGTTCTCTCCCAAGCAACTCAACAATATTTTTCTAGATACTTTCCCCCCAATTCCTTAACCATATTTATAATCAGAGTTTAGCCTAACAAACTCAATTATTACAGCTAACACAGAGAATCAAAATAACAAACTATATTCTGAATTACTCTTCTGCCCTCAAGCATAACAAACTCTGTCCACTCAGCTTCACACATCAGCAGCAACATTATTCTTGGGCCTTCTCCTTGCATAAGTAAAACGGACCTTAGGCCTAGGATAATCCCTTGCAATACCTCCCACCCAAAGATTCACCTTGTCCTCAAGGTGGAAGCAAGGGAACCTTAAATGGACTTCATCAAAGAATTCCCAGGTAGCTTCGAACTCTTGCAGTCCCTTCCATTGATTGAGTACTTCCATGGCAGTCTGAGAATTCCTCACTCCAAGAACAGCCTCAGGTTCTACCTCCATTATCATGTCAGCAGACAAGTGAGCAGGAAGCTGTGATGAAGTTTGGTGCGCACCAAGAGCCTTCTTTAACTGAGAAATGTGAAAGACAGAATGTATCTTAGCATGAGGGGGCAGCTGCAGCTTCTAAGCTACACTCCCTATACGCTGAACCACAGGAAAAGGGCCATAAAACCTGGGAGAAAGCTTGTCATTTGTCCTGCGCACCAAGGACTTCTGTCTATAAGGCTGTAGCTTTCGATACACCAAGTCCCCAACATTGAATGAGCCCTCTCTTCTGCCCTTATTCTCATGAAACCTCATATAAACCTGAGTTTGTACCAGATGGTACTTGAGATCATCAAGCATGGCATCTCTCTCTTGCAGCTGCTCTTCGACAGAAGAAACAGAGGTACTTCCAGCAGAGAACCTAACCAAGTGAGGAGGATCATGCCCATAGAGTGCCTTAAAAGGAGTACAATTTGTGGCGGTGTGAAAGGACGTGTTGTACCAATACTTTGCCCACGGAAGCCACTTAGCCCAGCTGTGAGGTTTGCCATTTACAAAGCACCTCACATAGGCATCAACCCCCTTATTAACCACTTCTGTTTGCCCGTCTGTCTGTGGATGATAGGCCGTGCTGCGCAAGAACTGTGTCCCTTGAATACGAAATAACTCTCTCCAGAATATACTCAAGAAAACTTTGTCCCTGTCCGAGACAATAGAGCTAGGAATACCATGAAGTCTGACCACCTCATTGACAAAGGTTTGAGTCACACTCTGAGCCTGTGAATGGGTGCTTAAGTGGAATAAAGTGCCCGTACTTAGTCAACCTATCCACCACGACTAGTATGGTATCCCACCCCAATGACTTGGGGAGACCTTCAACGAAATCCATGGATATATCTTCCCACACTCTCTCTGGGATAGGCAAAGGCTAGGCTGAAGGAGACCCAAAGGAGTGAGCGTTGAAGTTTTATTCTGCTGACACATGTGACAATGTTGCACATAAACCCGAACATCTTTCCTCATACCAAACCAAAACCATTCTCCAGCAAGTCTTTGATACGTCTTTAAGTCACCCGCATGCCCACCAATCACTGAATCATGGTACTCTTTAAGCAATTTTCTGGTAAGTTCACATTGCTTAGGAATTACCAACCTGCCTTTATATTTCAAGACTCCACTATCCTAGGAAAACCATTTGGGAACCGACTCTCCAGCCTGAATTTGAGAGATTATTCTCTGTAGGATATCATCCTTCTGGATAAAAGATTGCACATAATCCCATCGTAGGCCACACGAAGTCACCATGTTCCAGCACTCCACCTCTGGTGAAAACTGACGAGACAAGGCATCTGCCAATTTATTCGTAGGCCCTGGCTTATAGTGAATTTCAAACGAGTAACCCAAGAGTTTGCTTACCCATTTTTGATATGCTTGACCAACTTCCCGTTGTTCGAGGAGAAATTTGAGACTCCTCTGGTTAGTCCGCACCACAAAGTGGCGGCCAAGCAAATAATGCCTCCACTTTTCAATGGCAAGGACAATTGCCATCAACTCCTTTTCATATATGGGTTTGTTCCTGCTTCGCACACCTATAATCTTGCTGAATGGTCAGAAGGAGTACTGCACCCAAACCGTGCCCTATCAGTTTCCAACACAAAAAGGAGAGAAAAGTCCGGGGCAGCAAGGATAGGTGCGTTGACCATAGCTTCTTTGAGAGTGTTGAAAAGTTGGTCAGTGAGAGGCCAAGCTATGAGGGCATAACCTTGGATAAACTTCTGGTAATAGCCCGTGAAGCCAAGGAATCCCCTAAGCTCTCTCAAATTCGAGGGAGGAGGCCAATCCATCATGGCTTGAATTTTGGTGGCATCCACCTCAACCCCTGCTGCAGAAATCACATGCCCGAGATATGCCACTCGAGTTTTGCCTATCTCACATTTCTTGTAATTAGCATGGTGTGTGGCCAAAGTTTTCAGCACTTGTCTAAGATGGACCAAGTGGGACTCTTCACGCATAACTAAAAACTCGTCATGGCCATCGTGCGTGCGAAAAGCAATCTTCTGCACGTCTTCTGCCTTTACTCGAATCTGGTGGTATCCAGATTTCAGGTCAAGTTTCGTAAAAATGGCCGCCCCGCCCAATTCATCCAACAATTCATCAATTACGGGGATTGGAAATATGTCTGGGATTGTTTCTTTATTCAGAGCTCTGTAATCAACACAGAATCTCCAGGAATTGTCCTTTTTTTTCACCAAAAGCTCAGGAACTCAACATATCAGACACCAATTTTTCAATTTCATCTTTATGTGATTGTGGGTACCTGTAAGGTCTAATGCTGATGGGATTAGCACCACTGCGAAGAACAATGCAATGCTCAATTTGTCGTTGCGGGGGCAACCCTTGCGGCATATTGAACACCTGATGGAACTTCTGCACCAAGGGCTAAAACACCTCTGGCACTAATGGTTCAGCTTCATTCTCCACTCGTTCCATCCGATTAAACTCAAGCAAAAACCCCTGACCCTCTTTCTGCAGATTCTTGAGCATGACCTTTAACGAAATCCCTGTTCTCCCGAGTTGAGGCTCCCCCTTCAAGGTTACTGTATTTCCTCCCAATTGGAATTTAAGAGTTTGAGTTTTCCAATTGGTGGTGGTGTTCCCCAATTTTTCCAGCCACTGGATTCCCAGAATAATGTCGGAATTACCCAGAGGTAACACGAGAAAATCTTCCACGGTCGTTACCCCTGGAGGTCCAGCACGACTCCTTTACATTCTCCTTCCCCTTGAACAGATTCCCCCGTACCCAAGGTCACCCCAAAATTCTTAGAGTGGATCAAGTGTTTCGTGGCGGTGGAGGAGATAAAGTTATGTGTTGCTCCGGGGTCAATCACCACCACCACAGAGCAACCGTTGACAGTTCCAGCCAACCTCATGGTTTTCGGGCTGGTTAGCCCCATCACCGAACTCAAGGTGACTTGCGGTACAATAGACGGCGACGGTTCTAAGAGAGGTGGTGGTGCTATAGAATTTTCAAGGAGGGTTTCAGCCATGGACAACTCACCAGAGTCCTCGCCGTCCTCGTCTTCCATCGTCAGCAGCACACTCAAGCCGCGGCGCTGGCAGCGGTGGCGACGGGATATGGGTTCGTGTTTAGGCCAGTGTATAGGTTCGAGGTTGGGGATGTGTTGGGGTTGGTTCGTGTGTTTGGGTATTGGGTTCTCCACGTGTTTGAGGTCGGGTTTTGGGCTTAGTTTTAATTTTTCTTCAATCCGCATGGAGAGATCCATGGTCAGATCCAACGTGGGTGGGTTTTGGATCCGAACTTCGACCCGGATATCTTCTTTAAGTCCATTGATATACTGACCTTTGGCAATTTCTTCTGGAACTCCATCAATGGGAGCGAGCAATTCGATGAACCGGCGACAATACTCAGCCACCGAGCCGGTTTGCTGATGAGCGAGCCACTGCTCATGAAGCGACCCCGTGGCGGTGGATCTGAAGCGGCGGAGGAGGAGCTTCTTCAAGGTGTCCCAGCTTGACACGGTGTGCCTCCAGTGCTCCCATTGGTACCAAAGCAGAGCATCGCCATCCAGAGCGACGATCGCCGCCTTCCTCCGACAATCGGTAGAAATGGAAAAAACGTTCAGCTCTGAGAATCCACCCATCAGAATTTACACCATCAAAAATTGGTAAGTCAAGTTTCCTTAACTTCCAATTAGATTGGCCTGCCTGAGAACCTCCATCACCATGATCCAAACGAGGTTGTGAAGAGAATGGGTTTTCCCAGTGATAACTGAGAGCTTCCCCAGATTGCGGTGCATTGGATAAGGTGGAGCGCACCTCCGATCGGATTTTCTCCTGCCCAGCAGCAATCTGGTCAGATATCTCCGATTTGAAGGCCGCCATTGCTGTGGTGATTTCGCGAGCAACGCGCGAGGGCAGCCCTGAAATCTCCTGCTCCAGTAAGTCCAAACGCTGACCGTGATTAAGGCGAGCCATTTTCTTCTCCGGCAAGAATCGTCACTGCTCTGATACCAAATTTGCTAGAGTTTAGTATGAAAACAGAGGATGATTCAAGCAATCAAAGAGAAGTGAAATAGCTACCCAGATATTTTGTATTGCAATCCCAGAAAATTACAACACAAATGCCCTCTTTCGAGAGGAAGGCTCTCTCCCAAGCAACTCAACAATATTTTTCTAGATACTTTCCCCCCAACTCCTTAACCATATTTATAATAAGAGTTTAGCCTAACAAACTCAATTATTACAGCTAACACAATTAAAATAACAAACTATATTCTGAATTACTCTTCTGCCCTCAAGCATAACAAACTCTGTCTACTCAGCTTCACACATCAGCAGCAACATTATTCTTGGGCCTTCTCCTTGCATAAGTAAAACGTACCTCAGGCCTAGGATAATCCCTTGCATGATGTTAGATATATTACCCAAGAATGTAAAGTAATGGTGTATCATACATTCATACAGTTGTCATTACATGTGTTCTCTTATGAAAAACTTACTGACCATATTTAAAAATGGAATCACAGCACTGATCATACTTAAAAAAGTTCATCGTTGATACTATAGGGAATCTGTGTTGTATTATTATGTCTATGCTTTCATGACAGGAATTCAATTATTCAGTGGTTTAGCAGTTGTGATGTTCATGATAAATAGCCATGTGACTATTAGCGAATGCAGTAGTTATCAGTATGATATGCTATTATGCTGTGCCCTAAGATTGTACAACTTTGTTTTCATGTGCAGGTGGGTTATTCCATACGGTTTGAAGATTGCACATCTGAGAAGACAATTCTTAAGTATATGACAGATGGTATGCTTCTTCGCGAATTTCTTGGTGAGCCTGACCTTGCTAGCTACAGGTGACTTGCTAGTTCCAGACTTGTCTAACTCTATTCTTCTATCCAAGTTATATGCCTAGACATCTGATTTGTTATTTTCTCCAGTGTTATCATGGTGGATGAGGCACATGAGAGGACACTTTCTACGGACATATTATTCGGATTGGTCAAGGTAGGTGCAATCTCTTGTTAATCCAATCCCAGATGTTTCTCTCAATTTAAGTGAGGTTGACCTACCTGGTAAATGATGGGGTTGTAGTGCTTTGTAAAGATTCCAACTGTCTTATCTTAGCTAGTCGAGGGAAATATTTGGATGTTTAGGACTATGTGTTTCTCTGGCAGTGAATATTGTTTTGTTTCTGTGATCATTACCAATTTATCTTGCTATATACTCAGAAAAGTGCTCCCGTGTAATAGGATGTTGCTCGCTTTCGGCCAGATTTGAAGTTACTCATCTCAAGTGCAACTCTTGATGCCGAGAAGTTTAGTGACTATTTTGATTCTGCTCCAATTTTCAAAATTCCAGGGAGGCGTTACCCTGTCGAAATACACTATACAAAGGCACCCGAAGCTGATTATTTGGATGCAGCCATTGTTACTGCGTTGCAGATACATGTCACAGAATCACCTGGGGATATTCTTATATTTTTGACTGGACAAGAAGAAATTGAAGCAGCAGAGGAAATACTGAAGCATAGGACTAGGGGCCTTGGCACAAAGATTTCTGAACTTATTATATGCCCCATTTATGCCAACCTTCCAACAGATCTGCAGGCAAAGATATTTGAACCAACTCCTGAAGGGGCACGTAAGGTTGTGTTGGCCACAAATATTGCTGAGACTTCTCTGACAATTGATGGGATTAAATATGTTATAGATCCAGGTTTCGTCAAGATGAAGTCGTATAATCCACGAACAGGGATGGAGTCATTGCTGGTGACACCCATCTCCAAGGCATCAGCAAATCAACGTGCAGGTCGATCTGGACGAACAGGGCCGGGAAAGTGCTATAGATTATACACTGCTTACAATTACTACCAAGATTTAGAGGATAATACTGTCCCTGAAGTTCAGCGAACAAATCTTGCAAATGTTGTGCTTTCCCTTAAAAGTCTTGGAATTCATGACTTGTTGAACTTTGATTTCATGGACCCACCACCATCTGAAGCATTATTGAAAGCTCTTGAGTTGCTCTATGCACTTGGTGCCCTAAATAAGCTAGGTGAGCTGACTAAAGTTGGTAGAAGAATGGCGGAATTTCCCCTTGATCCCATGTTATCAAAGATGATTGTTGCTTCTGAGAAGCATAAATGTTCAGAGGAGATCATTACCATTGCAGCAATGCTTTCTATTGGGAACTCGATATTTTACCGCCCCAAGGACAAACAAGTCCATGCAGACACTGCAAGGATGAGATTCCACGAGGGGAATGTTGGAGACCATATTGCACTTCTCAAGGTATTAGAGCTACTCTATGTTTAGATTGTTTTTTCTAAAATTGGAAAAGGAGAGAAGCACACTGGTGTGGTAAAAGGCATTCATATTATTCTTTTGACACTTTTTTCATGGAAAGCATTATTTTTTCTCTTATGCTAGTGCATTAGACACATTGGTGTCTAAGAACTCCTTCCTTCTCTTTCTAATATGCTTGGATTTATGCCGAGCATGATTATTGTGGAGCTCGATTTTTATTTCTGTGAATATTGCTGAATTTTCTGCTATCTCTGTAATATTTGTTGATTTTTGTGCTAAATTTTTGTCCTCTTTCCCTAGATCTACAATGACTGGAAAGCATGCGATTATGGAAGCATGTGGTGCTTTGAGAATTATGTTCAGGTATGCAGTCTTTTATTTTCATTTTATTTGATTTGGTAAGGAATAGTGCTAACTGCTCTATCTAAAGATTTGGTAGCATTTCTTTTTCTATAGGATGGTGCCTATGTTAGTGCTGTCTATCGTAGTTATCTGATTCATGCTCTCCAGTAAATATTAAATTCTGGATTCTTTTGTTTAGGTCAGGAGTATGAAAAGAGCAAGGGATATTAGAGATCAACTTGAGGGACTTCTGGAAAGGGTTGAAATTGAAGCCACGACGAGTCTAAATGATTTGGAAGCTATAAAAAAGTCAATCACTGCAGGTTCTTATGCAAAGCCCTCTATTCAGATTTTTGATAACATATGCTATCTGTGAGACTGTAAGATAAAGTAGTAAATGCAATTTTACATTAACTGCTACAGGTTTCTTTCCTCATACGGGAAGGTTACAGAAAAATGGATCTTATAGGACAATCAAGCATCCTCAAACTGTGTACCTTCATCCCAGTTCTGGTTTAGCACAGGTAAGCTGTGTTTAGTTTTCAGTTGCTTGGATTCTGTTATTAACGTCAAAGCAAAATCCATCAAATGCATTTTCATGTACTATTCTGTATGTCATGCATTTATATGATGTGAAATTTTCAATGCACACGTGAAGTATTGGTACAACAGTGAGGTAATTAATTTTAATTTTATCCTGGGGCTTTTAAGATGGCTTCGTGGCATTTAAAAAAGAAAAAATAACAATAAGTGGTGAGCATGGGTGGGAAGAGTGGAACTTTGGAATGGTTTTTGGTTTGATAAGTGGCTTCAATTTGTCTTGTTTATTTGAAATTTTTGTGTTGGAGTTCGAACTTCGAATTATAATCAGGTACAGTAGTGAAGTTTTTTTTTTTTTAATTTAGGTCATCATCTCTTTGTCGAGGGCCATTGGATGGATTGATCATAGTCATCTTGAATGGCTGTGCAAAAAATTCTCATTTAAAATTTTCACGAACTAGATCCTGATGGTTTGTTGTCACTTCTTTTACTGAATCTTCTGTTATAGCTATGAACTTGATTACATGATTTGGCCAAGTTGAAGTTAAATCTATCCTGATGGTTTGTCCCCAATCTCTCTATCCCAAGCCAAAAAAAGGGCAAGGGGGCGGGGGTTGTAATTGACTTTTCTCTAAGTTTGTCGTTTGGGGGTTGGTTATTTACATGCATTTCTAGTAATGCCTAATACTGCAAAATATATGCTTTCTGCTTGTGTGTGTGTTTTCTTTTCTGTTGCATACCCTGTTCCCCTGACTTGCCTTGTGCTCCGAATCCTTGGTTACCTAAGTTTGTTAGTATACGAAGTATATAGGTTTTTATATTGTTTTTGGAACTGAACAATTGTTTTCTTTATGAGCAGATGGAGCCACAACCAAGATGGGTAGTATACCACGAACTGGTTCTGACAACGAAGGAATATATGAGACAGGTGACTTTTCATCCTTCTTCCTTCTGCTTCCATTTGACTGTTTTGAGTATTATATTTTGGATGGGCATATATATTCTTCTGCTAGCTTTCATTTTCTTTCGAAAATATATTTTTCGTACATTGTTAAGTTGTTGACTCGATTGGCTAATTGCAGGTAACTGAGCTAAAACTGGATTGGCTGATTGAGATCGCTCCTCATTATTACCAGATGAAGGATGTCGAAGATGGTATATGCTCTCAATCACCCTCTTTAATTTTTCATACCTTCTGAATTTTTTTTCATCGATACTGTTTGATACTTTCTATGTTTCAATTAGATCTTGTTTCTGAAGTTGATTGTATTAGCTGCTAATTTGATTTATTTTTTTTTCTCTTTGCAGCTAGCACAAAGAAAATGCCAAAGGGTAAGGGTCATTCGGCTGCTACTCAGGGGAAGTCTTGAAGAGATAGTAAAGTTTAGTGTATTTTTGCCAGAAGAATTAACTGGGTTCGTTTGGTCCCTTTTCTTAGTTAGAAATCCTATGTTTCATATCCGATTCTTTACAGCGTAGACTTGTACGGTAAAAATGTATATATAACCTCCACAATTCCGCAGACTTGTGTTGTTGAGGTCAAGCCCAATTTTGTAATTTTCTTCAACATCACTTATTTTCACCTTTTATAAATTATTTAGATTAGTGTAATCATAAATGAGCAGTAACATACTTACATACGTAGGTGTAAACCCTTTAGCGACAATTCTAATCGTTGTAATCAATATTGATTTTAAGGAGTTTCAGAACTTGTATGTTTTCTTGTAAACAGTTTATTTATCTTTCGGTTTTTTACAAGCCACATTGTTTTCTCTGCGTAAAATATGGTGAAATTTAGAGTTTTAAACAATTAATCGGTATGTATGAAGATCGACCAAAAGTGGATCGGAATAATATAGAGGGGAATTAAAAAATAATCCACAGGGAATGTGATTTTATTAGTACTTAATACAGGAGCTAGCTATTTCAAAACTGAGCTTGGGTATGTATTGCCCTTCACAAGCTCTACTTTCAACTTTCTTAAAAATTACCATACATAGTTTTACCTTGTACGTGTCACCGTGATTGGTGGCAACAACCCCGTATCTGCCCTCTTCGCCACCATTGCTAAATGCTCTCGGTGGCTCTTCTTAACTTAACACAACTACACAAGTCTATTAACTAAAGATAAGTAAAACTTATACAAGTAAATTTACAAACATGCAATAAAACTGACTATAGGATAACATTTTTTCACACATACATAAATTTCATACTATAATAACATAAAAAGGAAAGGCATTCCTTCAAAATGGCCAAAACACTAACTACAAATCCGTGTCTTCCTTCCCTCCATCTACGACCATTGCAACATACACTTCTAATTTAGAGCTCATCATCGTCGTCATCGTTATCAGCAATGTTACGAGTCGAGGTCATATCTTGAGCAATCTCCTTAGCATTACGCAAAGTATCACCAGCCTTCTTCTTAGCAGCATCATACCCTTCCTTGGCCTTCTCCTTCATCCAACTCGAATGCTCCTCTGCGGCTTCCTTAGCATCTTGGGCCTTCTCCTTGGCATCTTGAGCCTTTCGAGCCGTTGCCTCCTTTGCCTCATCAACCTTCTGGCCCGTTGCCTCCTTGGCCTCTTGAGCTTTACGGCCTACTGTTTCCGATTGTTGTTGGACTTGGTCTTTGACATTCGAGGCCTTGTTAGAGGCCTCGTTGGCGTATTGCTGAGCCTTGTCCTTCACCACTTCGGCATGCTCTGTGGCTGCATCTTTCGTCGATGCAGCCTTGTTCGCGGCATCTCTAGTAGCTTCGGATGTTTTATCTTTAGCTTGTCGTGCCTTTTCGTTTGCTTTGTCGGAGGCTTCATTTGCTTTTTCATATGTCTTCTCTTTGGCTTCGTTTGCTGCCCATATCATAAAATTATAATCTTGCACTTTACTCGATCAATATTGCACATTTGTACTTCATTTATAATCATTCTATTGTTAAAAATCTTTATAAGCTTGATTTATGATCTATGTTATGGATTATAACCATTTGATTTAGTACAAATTAACAAGATTTAAAGTTTACACATCTAAGCAAAACAAGCTATTAAGAAATAACTAATACGATGTACAAAGTATCATATTGTTGTGAATAGTTGTTGTCGTACTGTTCCAATCCCTCATAATAATTATAATACCCTCGTAATAATTATAATATGAATGTAAGATGAAATTATATAGTCGGGTTTTACTTGTAATTTCCTTCCAACTAATTTAAGTGACAACATATTAGTAGATAAAATCTAATCACAAATGATTATGCCATATTACCATCATGATTTTCTAAAACTATTCAAAGAATCCATAACACAAGGGAACAAAAGGCCACCATAACACAAAATAGCATGAATCCATGCATACTCCAAACTCAATTTTTTATTCAAGTATGGTTGTACTAGGGTATGTTACGTTGCGCACTTAACACTTTCAATAAAGGTATTGTTCCGTACACTCTTAGGAATTAAGGGTGATTACGTGGATATTAACTAGTTCAAATTTTGTCTACATCACTGCATACATTACCTAAACTAAAAATTCATCTTGGTAATTATTACCTGCATCACCAACATTTTGATGTTTTAATCCAAGCCCCTCTTGGATCTTCTCCTTAGCCCACCCCATCCACGATTCACCGCCTTCTTTAATCTCCTCCTCGGTGGCTTCGTGTGCATGCGACACGGTGACATTGTCCGCCACCACCACAGCCACCACAATCACCAACAACATCAACTTCATCCCGGAGCGTAGTCGTGCCGTCATTAGCTAATCACGTATGCTGTTATGTTACGCCAAATAGTTAAATATCAACAACTACTATGATTAATTAATACAAAGTAATTCTTAGGACACAAAAGTTAGATTATATGTAAATGAAAGTTGGAGATCCTTGAAGAATAATTGTAACTAATTTAGGCGTATAATATAGAAGGATATGATATTAGGTAGTTTTAAATTTAGAATGTGGTGGAGCGAGGGAATGGTTCTAAATTACACGTGTGGTAAGGGGTGTTAGTTTCATTTTCCAAGTGTTGAGAAGAGAGTGTTGCATGTGTTTCGATTTTGTGTTCATTTTGCCACCTATGTTTTCCTTTCTTGTGGGTGAATGAGAGACCGCCTAAAACTCCCTTTTTGAAATCGTTTTCCAACTCCCTACGTTACAAAATAATTACTCACCTTCGTTTCATAGCATCATGTATGACAATGGAATATTTTATATCTTACACACACATATTTCCTCTGTTTTTTAATAGTTGCAACACACCTTATATTACGTTTTTCGAGAAAGTGATTAGACTAAGTAAACGAATTAATTAAGCTATAAAATTTTAATCATAGAAACTTATCCCTTCTTATCGGTGGTAAAAATTTGTGATTAATTTATCCGTTTACCTAGTTTAATATTCTCTTAAAATGCGTGCTAAAAAGGTGTGTTGCAAGTAAATAAAAACGGATGAAGTATAATTGATACACATAATGTAAAACAGAGGAATTATTTATTTGTTTTTATCATGTTTTTATTGTATAAAGAATCATAAATAACTCTTGTTTTTACCCGGTAAAGATTATTGAGAGAATTATTACAAAAATTATATAAATATCTATCTATAAATCACAAAGGATGCGTAAAAGAGTTTGTGAATAGTGTCAAAAGTCAAAACATGTCAACTAATCTGAATTTAGAGGAGTAGGTATTAACATTATATTGTCAGTGTGTTTGTATGTACAAGGATAAAAAGGTCGATATTGGTCTTAATTAGGTGTTGTGGTACAAAGAAAAAAGTGCCGGTGCTGGAGTCTTTAATTATGACGGCTTTAATGATGTTTGAAGCTAATTGTCCGACTGTATATTCAGGTTAACCAGGACGGAAGAGAAGAGTGAGGTAGGTTAAAATATTTTAATAAACCAAATTGACTAATAATTAAAGAATGACACCTGATCTATATAACATTTTAAAGAGGTAAAAATCGGTTAGGGTTTTAGGAGAAGAAAGTCCCAATGACAAAAAAATTTTAAGGTTGCTAAACGATGAGATTATTTATGTCAATTTTTTCAAATTAAAAAAGAAGAAAAATATTAATTATGGAGAAAATTCCCCTATAATTTAAGAAAGAAAGAATACAGCTTTACAGAAGGAGGAACATTATTAAGCCTAAAAAACTAAATAAATAAACTACAAAATAATAAAATATATTAGGTTTTCTATAGAAGCTTTAAGCCCTCCAAGTTTCTTACTAGTTCCAATATTTCCCTAATATTGCAACATAAGGAGGGGAAACATATTTTAAAAAGAGTTTAGAATTAGAGAGGGATAAAAATAGTTGGATTTATATAATAAGATGATCGAAAGAGAAAAAACAAGTGTAAATAGGGAAATGTTGCAATACTTTGCAATTTAATAGCCGTGGGACGAAAGAAGTGTGATTTTCATTCCCTTGTTTACATCATTTTTTTTTATAAAATGTTTACATCAATTTACTAACATTAATAATTGTACTATTTGAGTATGGAGTATTAAAGTAGAGAGAAATAACATTAAAAAAAATGCGTAGTAGTAATTTTCCAAAAATAAAAGTGTAACACTTCCAAAAAAAAAACGGCCACATAAAAGGGTTACGTTAAGTAAGTCAGACTACGTTTTACTGTTTTAGCACACTTAAAAAATCACCAGTGAGACGCAATCTAAGTAAAATTGTATAAGAACTTTTTATACTACTGGAAGTCCTAATAGTAATATTGATGTTTTTTTAAAGTATTACTAAGGCCTTGTTTAGTTTAACTTATTTTTATTTAAAAAAATAAAATCGGATCAAATTATTGTTTTATGTTCAATTTTTTATAGCTAAATATCTTAAATTTCGTAATGAACAAAAATTATGAAAATTACATATTAATAAAATACCCATTATTATGAATCTAACAAGACCCCCACTTGGTATATTTTTTTTCTTATAGATTATCGTACACTTAAGGTCAACGTTTTTATTATATTACTATTTATATTAGACAAGACCAGATCAAATAAGCAAAAATAAGGTGAACTGAACAAGCATGAAGAGTGTCGTTTATACTACTGGAAGCATATGTATAGTAATGTTCTGTAGTACTTCATTACCTCTTAGGCCCCGTTTACATCATCTTACTTTTGCTGAACTGAAATTATTTTTACTGAGACAAAATTATATTTGCTGAACCTAATTTATTTTTACTAAACTTAAATTATTTTTACCGATTTCTATTATAATTCTTCCATAAGATAACTAAATTTTATTAAACTGAACTGAAATTAATTATATTGAATTGAACTGAAGATATTTTTATTTAACATTTTTTTAAAGGTAGAGCAAATATGGCCTTAGTAGTACTCTTAAAATTCATAATTTACAATAATTAACATTGTTATGTGTTTTTTTTTTCTGGAAAAATGGAAAAGAAAAATTCAAAATTTGCACTTTTTCCGTAGAAAAATCCAACTTTATACCCCTTCTCTAAAATGGACCTGTTGGATAAGGAGGGGTATAAAGGTTGGATTTTTGAGAAATAAACAAAAGGTTGGATTTTTGAGGAATAAAAAAAAGGTTGGATTTTTATACAGAAAAATTGCAAAGGTTGGGTTTTCTGAGTTAAGTATAATGTTGGGTACTAACATTTTAATTTTTCACCTTTTGAGTACTCCCACTTTTTTTTCACCTTTTGGGTACTCTAATTAAGTTTCCGGCCAATTAACTCAACATAAACTCACCGGAGAAAAAGTCAGTCCCCTCTTTCATTTATTTGGCAAAAAAAGTTAGTCCCCTCCATGAAAAACGTTAGAAATAAGTGAGTACCTTGATTAATTTAATCATATAAATGTATTCCAAATTTTTTTAAACAAAAATACTAAATTCCCAAAAAATGATGAGGCTGCTTCAAATATACAACTAGCCGTTGAATTTAAAAATAAAACCAAAAAATTCATATTAGCAACATAAAGCAACAACAGGAAGCCATCAGCAAGCCTTCATTCCTTCAAGTTTGTTCTCCAGTCTCTGCAAGGAAGTAGGAATGGCTAGTGTTACTAATTTTTGTAGATGTTCTAGACGGGTTGCTCGGAGAATTTCAAGAACAACCAGAAATCCTTTTAGGAGATTTCATACATGCCAAAATTATATGAAGCCTAATGGATGTGATTTTTGGGAGTGGATTGCTGACGATTATGAATGGGAGGTGAAAAACGAAATGATAAAACTGATGCAGAGCAATGACAGGCGACTTGAAATGGAAGAAATCAGGAAGAATCATATTTCATTTTATAGGATTGTAATCTTAACTCTACTTATGGTTATTGCTGTAATGTATATGTACAAGTGAATTAGGGATTGTTAAAAAAAAAACCTAGTTAGAACATGCGCACTGTTAGAAATACGAAAGGATTAATTTTGGACCACTGATTTAAGTCACTGGCAGCAGAATTTCCCGCTTCCCCATGGACACGTGTATTTACCCTAGAGGCCCCCATCCAATCATATGTCAGTCGCAATTAATAGGGTACTAACATTTTTTGCTGATTTTATTTCTTAATCCAAGGTACTAACTTTTTTAACCTAAGGTACTTACTTTATCACCGGATTGTACACTTGAGTACCCAAACGGTGAAAAAAATGTGGGAGTACCCAAAAGGTGAAAAATTGTAAATGTGTACCCAACATTATACTTAACTCGGTTTTTCTTTTTTATTTTTTCTTTTTTTTTTTTGAAAGATTGTTACGTGTTTGCTTGTGTCTAACCGTGATGTATTACGACTTCCTCCCCGATTACCCGGAACCTAAGATACGAACCTAGAATATTTTTTTTTAACCCTTTGGAGCATTATCACGTTTCCGCTGCGTTGCTGCAGCCCTCCCTCCCTACTCCATTGAAGGAAGCGTACTCTGAATTCTCCATTGAAGCCGCCTCTGAGCTTTTTCTCCTCCATTGAAATAACTTCCGAGGTAAAATATTTTCAACTTTTTTTCAAATTTATTAACATCGAATATCAATTATACTATCTAGTTTATATCGGTACTTTAATTGTCAATATATCAATTTAGGGTTCTTCTAAGGTTGATTATTGAGCTATTGGTTATAATTACTGTAATTATGAAATATTATAACTAGCGAGTTGTTGCTAGACTTTGCTATTCATATTCTTAAGCAAGAAGAGTTTACATTATTTTTTAAGCCTAATTTGATGATATAGTCAAACTTAATTGCTAATTGTTGGAGCCTCAGGGATAGTTTTGCTATGAAATTACAAATTATATGATATGTATTCTACATTTCTACTTTTTTGTGTCATTATTAGTTTATGGAATTTAGAATAATCTGGCAAATTTATGATGAATTTTTTAAATTTGACTCATAAGAATCTAATGCGTATATGGTTAGATTATTGATATAAGAAAGTTTTAATCTTTTTTTAAATTTTTTTTTTTTTTTTATGTTTTTGAAGGACATTCACTTCTTTTGGAGTATTAGTGATGTTAATAGTTAAGTTATTATTTAGTTCAAAAGGGTTCTTAAGGTGATTAAGAAGAGGATGTTACCTGGTTCAGATTAAGAGCAGATTAATCTCAATTAATTTTTTCTTAATTGTATAAATCAATTTTTGTTAAACTAATACTCGGAGAATTGTAGTTTCGATTATAGAATGATAGGTTGGTCTTTTTTTTAGCACAAATTAATGCTTGGGAATACAAGTTTGATTAAGTTTACGTGCTAGCGTACTCGCCGAGCTTGGTTCAACTTGGCTCGGCCCTATACCTGTTTATATAACCATCTACTTCTATTGGTTTTATTTTTTAGAAGTTGAAGCAAATTTTTTACATGAATATCACAATGTACTATAGGTATGATGCTTGATTATATAAGGAACTATCATTGATTAACCAAGTTGTATGCATGAACTATACCTCTTTAGCTCCATTTTTGAATGAGATAACTGATTTAGTAGTGATTTACATCAATCATTACTCATCTAAGTTTTTATCAATTATTCATACTTGTCTTCCAGTCTTTCTATGTCTTAAGTTTTGGCACATAGACCTTGTGTAAACTATCATTCTGTTGCACAGGTCAAAAGATGGAGGGTAGCCATGAGATAGAGGTTGCTGAAGCTCAAGAAAACCTTGATAATGTACCTGTGGAGAAACAAGAAACCCGTGATGAAATGCTTTCAAGGCACAGGTAAATTTTTCTATATTCCATTAACAATTTAAGCAATAGATAGGATGTTACTTTCTTATGCTATATATTTAGTTATTTATATAGATGCTCTTTTAGTGACAAACCACCATTTATGCAGTTAATCATTTCACCGGGGTTACATACTTCGTATATGATTGAGGCAGAGAGCTAATTGTAATATCGTATGCTTTTTTATAATGTTCCTTAGATGCTCTTTTAGTGACAAGCCTCCATTTTACGTAGTAGATCATTTCGCTGGGATTATGTCCTGTGTAACTCTTCAGTTACCTTGTCCTTATGATCTTATTATAATCCTTATCTCATAAGGGATTTTTTCTGCATTATGGAAGTATTAAAACCTTTTATATTCTGTTGTGTCAATACGTTGTTTTGGTACAGATAAGTAATTCACTAGATTGTTTTAGTAAACTAGTCCATTATTTTACCTCATACCATGGATTGATGGACCATATTCCAATCCCCACTATCCTGAATGATTGGATAGTTGAGTCCCTTGGGTGTGAGGATTATTTAATTAGTACAGACCAATGTGGAATTTACCTTTGGAAGGAGCTACACCAATCCAAACCTTGTCTGACGAGTGAAGCTTTAAAAACTTTTCAATCTTTCTTTGAATCAAGGTAGTCATGCTTGAGAAGTTGAAAGCACTGTAACTGAAGTCTCTGGAGCATTTGTGTTTTCTTGAGTTATGCTTTTGAAAGCTATCTGATGTACAAAGCCTATTCTTTAAATGCCTACTTTTTTAATAACATTTGCAAGATATAGATCTGTCCAGTAATGCTTTCCTAGTTTCCTAGATTGTAAATATTGGGTGAATTAGTACTTTTTTATTTTTGGGGATTGATCATTATGCTGATAGTTTGGTTTACAAATGTGGGTGACTGGGCCTAAGATACTATACTCTGTAAATCTTACAATTTGTGGTTTGTGGACTTGTGGTGAGCATAGTGTAGAATAATTTATTCAGAGAATATGTGGCTGGAGTCTTATGCTCAGGTTTCCTTATCAATGTGACTACCATAGCGATTGCTTTGAGCAGTATTCTGACTACCACAGGAATTGCTTTGAGCACTATTTTGTGAATAGCGATTCCTGGTCTATTAGAATTGAGCAAGTTTAAGTGTAAATCTTCTCTCTTCCAAAGTCATTGGCCCCCTGGGAAAGCTATTTGTTGTTCGATATCCTATGTTATTCTCTAGTTCTACTATGGAAAGTAGAAGCATGTTCCCTTGGCAATTCTGGAGTATTTTTTTTAGTCTTTTCTACATTTTGCTGCCCCTTTCAGATAATTAAATTTGGTTTGTTGGGAGTATGTGTCCGTCTATTCTCTTTGAATTCTTTGGCATGGTAGTTATTAGCATTCCTTAATTTGAAGATGGAATAGTAGCTTCATATTTTTTCATCATTAAATAGAAGTGATGGCTTTTGAAAAAATATTCGTCTACAATGAATAAATATCACATATTAGTTGTAGTTCTACTTACTCTATATGTGATCTATCCAAGATATTGCAAGTATGTGAATATGTCATTTTGTATATCTTAGTGTTACTCCTATTTATGTCTGTAAATTTTCTTTTAAAAAAATCTTTATAAATTAAAAAGGATCGAATATCTCATAGCACTCTAATTAGGGTTATTGGGTTTATAAATCACTGAGCTCTTTGAATCAGTAGGGTCACTGATGAATGTTATAAAGTATTTGGTGGCTATTTTCAAATAGCTTTTTCTAGTCTTTGGAAACAGCAGTTCATTATCTTATAATTTTATCGTAAAAATATTTGAATTTTGGTAATTTTTCATTTTGGCACTTTTGAGTTATGCCAACATTTTCACTTTAGTGCCCTGTTTTTGTATTATTCATAGCAGTTTCACTTCGTTAACCATTGAACACTGCAGATTGTAGAAGTAGTTTCACTTCAGTCACCTCAGATTGTAAATATGATAAATCTATTGGCCTGATGCAAATACTGTTAAAATATCTGTTAAATAGTGACTTGTTATGCAAGATCTTATTTGGAATCTTGTAAGTTGGATCATGAAAGGAGAATAGGGAAATAACAGGTTATTTAAGTGTTAACCTTTTCATTCATTGGCTTATCAAAATTATTATTTTTGAAAGAAAAGTATGGCCTCAAAGACACCAACTATGACTTGGGTGTAAAGAGCTGTACAACTTGAATGGGATGCAAGTTGTGACATAGACGACACTATTTGTGACTCCCTACAACCACCAGAGTAGTGTGGTGCATAGTTTGTGGTCCAAAGTGCACCTGTTTGAAGTTGCGCTTCTTTATGCACCCATGCTATAGTTGGTGTTGTTGAGGCCAACTTTGCCTTTCTAAAAGAAAACCTTAATAACATTTGTTAGTTCATAAATTTTTGTGGAGTGTTAGTGTCACTGATTATAGTATCTTAGGTTACCATAGTGAAAAAACTGAAAATATACAAAATATAGTTTAACAAAGTGGAAATTTTCCTATCTCAAGGGACAAATTGAGCATTTCCTTATAATTGTATTTGATACTTCAAAATAATACTATCTCCATCCTTTTTATGATGGTTATAATTACTATATATATATATACACTGAGTATGAGAGAGTGTGGGTAGTGGGGGGCATGTGTAAGAAATATAGGAAGGGTATTGTTCTTAATAATAGAAAGCTGGCATACTTTTTTTAACCTTAATTATTTTTTGTCATTGGAATAGATTTAGTTTACCTTCTTTTGGGGCATACAATCCTGTGGATCAGAGAATGTTATCTCACTGTCATTTTTCAAATACCCTCTATTAATTACAGGAAAGAAATTTCCCAGCTACAGAACAAAGAGGTTGAGATGAAAAAGGCTGCAGCTAAAGGTAGCAAAGCGGAACAGAAAGCAAAGAAAAAGCAAGTTGAGGAAGAAGTAGCCAAGCTATCTGCAAATCTCAGAGATAAACATGCACAAGAACTTTCTTCACTGGGCTATAATAGCAGCACAATTGGCAATGGAAATGACAAAGGAAACCTTGATACACTTGTCAAAGCAATTGCTGGAGTATCTGTGGCCAGTAGTGCTGATAATCACAAGCCTAGTAAAAGTGTTAAGAGACGTGAGAAAAGAGCTCAGCAAGAAGCTGCAAGGGAACAAAGAATAAAAGAGGAACAAAGCAACATCACTAGTGATAGAGTGATTGAAGATGGGTTATTGGAGAAGAAGCTAGACCCACTTGGATTGACCATCAATGATATTAAACCTGATGGCCACTGCCTTTATCGTGCTGTGGAGGATCAGCTAGCTCACTTGTCAGGAGGTTCTTCACCTTACAATTTCCAGCAGCTTCGAGAAATGGTTGCTTCTTATATGCGTGATCATGTCTCTGAATTTCTCCCCTTTTTCATATCAGAGAATGAGGTTGAAGGAGAGTCAGATTATTCTCTGGCGCAGAGATTTGAAAACTACTGTCACGAGGTGGAAACAACAGCAGCTTGGGGTGGGCAACTGGAGCTTGGTGCCTTGACACATTGCTTGAAGAAACATATAATTATATTTTCAGGGTCCTTTCCTGATGTTGAAATGGGCAAGGAGTACAAGACTGATGGTTCTTCTACTTCATTGAACTCTTGTATCAAGCTATCATACCACAAGCATGCGTTTGGTCTGGGTGAGCATTATAATTCTGTGGTTCCCAGTTTATAACAAAATCATTTAGCCATTTTTTTTTCCTTCTCTTTTTTTATGAGAGAAAAAGTAAGCGAATTGTGAGTGCACATTTAACTCCATCAAGAGTGATAGTTTTCTGTTGCATTTTTTAATACCATACATACTGATACTGATACACTTCAAGTTTGATCTGCTTGGATAGTTGATACCCTTTAAATTTTGATACAATAATCAATGATTGCCATTTTTATTTTTGTCGTGTTTCTTTGTAAGCAATTCTTTGTTGAGACCATCTTGCACAAATCTTGTTTGATCGAATGAACTTTGGGAAAGATGAATGAACTTTGTATGCGATAATTTTCTTTTATCTTATTTGATCGAATGAACTTTGGGAAAGATGAAGCTCTCTGCTAAGGTTAGAGAGATGTGGAGCAATACTGGACTGCTCAACTTGTAGTGACTAGTGATGGCCACTTTTGATTTCTCAGCTTGTGAGTTGTGACATCGTGACGATTATGAAAGCACCAAAATAACTTGCTGCAACACACTCCACACCTGGATTGTGGCTAAACCTTGGCCACGGCCTGGCAATGGCCTCCCCATGACACGCCTGCCCAAGAAGCAGCACTACTTAATCAGGTGCAACTCTCCTACGTGCCACTACCAGATTTTGCTTTTAGATGTATTTTGGTGGATAGAAATGCTCTTTCCTTATTAAATTATGCTCGAATCACAATTAGTTTAACCTTAATCTTAATTCAGAAGAAGTTAATACAACCTACATACATGTGTCCAAGATAGACATAAGATTTAGCAATACAATACTTGAACAATATTAAACCCAGTACTTTTTTTTTTATTTTTTTTATTTTGGCATTCTAGATTGACTCGTGAAGACTTCTGGGCCTTCTCAATAAGTCTTAAATCTTGATTTCCAAAAATTAAAAACCAACACTTACTTTCTTCTTTAACGCGGAAAAGGGAAATATATTAAAATTTGGCTAGGCCATTAAAGCGAAAAGTGCAAACAAAAAGGGAAATAACAACAAACAGACGACGAAGGCCAGAGACATCCTTAAGAACATAGCAATAACCTACTAGTTCAACTTACATCTAATGTCAATCCAAATATAGAATAAAATCACTTGCAAAGGCAAATTGGATAACAAGGGCAGTCAAGTGCACGAAAACCCTTGTTAAACTCTGCAGTGACACCTTGGGCAACTGCTGGTACACAAATGGTTGTCAACATAACGATGGCAAGGATTATAGTAGAAGAACCATACCATAATTGTTTCGCTTCATCATCTTTGCCACAAATATTACTCAACTCTGTCTTATTATTACTTTTGTGTGTTTGGCTGGATAGATCAATATACTCCCCCTTGGTTAATTTGATGCTCAAGTCTTGAGTATATGTGTAACCTTCAAAGTCAATGCATCCACATGTATCAAACGTAGATATGAGCTGGTTATTGATTAATTATACTTCTTCGTATTAGTTTAATAAGACTAGCGTTTACTAATATATATCCAAGCAACTTACAGTATATATAGTACAGTATCAAGGATTAATCTTGCTGCATAATGATTATATAATAAAGAAGTAGATATATATATATACTTCTTATACATCTATACAAGAAAAAAAAAATGTATTATATATGAATTGGAGCTTATATTTTGCCTCTGATTCCTTAAACTTTAAATTCGTATCCAGAAACTGTTACTACTCCATTATTCTATCTGTAGCTAATGGGAGTGGGCATTATGCATCCGAAGCTGATAAGAGTGGGCATTATGCATCCGTAGCTAATGAGAGTGGGCATTATGCATCCGTAGCTAATGAGAGTGGACATTATGCATCCGAAGCTGCTAAAATGGAAAAATATGTAGTTTGTTAATGGCTGAAAACATATAATATGTAATGCCGCACCACATGATCAATATTTCAATTTAAACTCTGAACACAGGTAAGAAAAGCAGTACATTAAATGACCAATATTCTGAGTCATAGAATATGGAAAGGTAATCAGAAAATAGCTTAACCCCTGCCAAATTGTGAGAGACTTCAGTTCGCCACATCAATAGGTATATGGGTCATAAAAACCATGGCACCTCTGCAACTCCATCCCTTTTCTTTCCCGCCATCTCATCTCTTTCTCGAGAGGCTCCCCTCTCAAGCACCAAACTCTACTGCCTAAGAACATTACCTTCAAAACAACATTCTGTATCATTTTATAACGTCCTTTGCAACTCACTGAAACAATGTTGAGATTTTTCCATTCAGCTGATCAGTTTATTCAACTCAATTTTTTTTGGCTAAACTGTTAACTTAATACACCAATGTAACTTCTAAGTCTGCAAATTATACCTTTCTACTCGTACCTGTTTAATTAAAATAAGATACTTAAGCAAAGATTTGGCATATTGTAAATACATCCAACTCTATCAACTGTTTGCAATTTGTAAATGATTACATTGACAAATACCATGATTACTTCCAAGTACGAAATTTGTATCATTATACTAGTAGTTAGTATACATGAAATTTTAGTAATACATCCAATTTATAATGTCAGAAGTATGGTAGTTTGTATATAATGGAAGAGATGTGCTTAATGTGAGGCCAGTCTTCCCCTGTGTGTTGTTGGCATCTTTCCTTGAGGCGTTCAGAACAGCGATAAAGTCGAAGTATCCTGAGGGAAGTCAGTTTAGGCATCCAATCCCTGGCAATCATAAATTTCGAGGGTATGGAGGGCTGCCAAAGATTGCATCCAATTTGGAAGAACCACAAGCTGTGGTAGATAATACAATTTCAAGTAACAAAGGGAGTGAGAAAAGGATGGCCATGACATGCCAATAGTGTTCATTTCCTCCTCTTCTCACAAAAAATTTACATTAGGGCAACTAGAGATTGATAAAGCCTCCAAGGCGGAGAGATGTTCCAATCCTCCAGAAATAACACTCCTCAATTTACGATAGCAATATCCAATTTCCAAGGATCGCAGGGAAGACGAGCAGCTACTGAACACACCCCCAGCTTCTTTCAAACTCTCCAACTCAAAATTATGGAATATACACAGCTCAACAAGACAGTGAATTACTTCTCTGGGAAACGAATTAAGCCATAGAACATCATCTATACTAACTTTCCTTAATTTGGAAACATCATTTGAAGAAGAGGATGAAGATAAGAAAGTAGTAGAACCAGTACTGCTGCCACTTACATCCGCCTTTTCATCCCCCAATTTCGTAATATGCACAGTTATTTGGAGTCTTTCATTGAACTTTTTGATATTCAGTTCTTCTAAGTTGGGACATAGCAGAATCAATTTTAAGTTAGGGCAATCTGATATCTCCAAAGTGGTATTGGTGCCATGCTGAAGTTGCTGTTAATATCAAGACAAAGCTGATTATTACTTCCCACCCCCTCCCCGAAATTTTTCCATCCTTGCAATTCTGGAAGCTGCCACATATCTAGCTTTCTCAGGTGGGGAAAGAATCCATTCGGATCACTGCCACCTGCTAATGCACTCTTTTCAAAAATGTACTTCAAATTATAACATCTGACAATTCTAAGGAATACCAAATGACGAAGATTCCCAAGGCATATCAAGTCCTCCATCCCGCAATCGTAAAGATGCAATCTATTAAGATTAGGGAGAGAGGTCGCCAACTTATTTTCCCTAGCCCAACTCGGCATTCTCATGCCAACACAACTAACCAACTCTAATCCCTTGAGATTCGGATGTGGTTGCAGCTCTTCCATTAATCTCCTTCCTTCTTCATCAATCCCCATATTATCAAAGTTTATTATAATAAGTTTGAGATGTTCCTTACCCCTCAAATATGCTCCTTCCGTATCTATATCTTCCTTAACTTTTATGGCATTTTCTACAAAATTGATTTGGACAAAAAGTTCACCCTTCAGGCTATTAAGTCTTTTTAGCTCTCCCAGCTGATCAAACCATTGCTTCTGACTTGCCTTTGATCCATCCAATACAAACTTACTTAGCACACGAAGGTAAGTCAACTTACTCAAGCCCTTTGGCATGTTAGTCAGGCTATTACAATCAGTTATATCCAATATCCTCAAGTTAACCAACCTCATCAAATCTTTTGGCAACTCTTTCAAGAATATACAGATATTTAATTTCAATGTCTGTAAATTAAATAACTTGGTAATTGATTGAGGAAGCACATCTAGAAGAACATTGTATGAAATATCTATATATCTTAAATGCAACAATTCACCTATTGAGTGCGGCAAACATTGTATACCTGATTTACTCAAATCCAACACCCTCAAACACACCCAACTTGCTACTAATGCCTTCAAAAAAGATTTGTCAATTACAACACGATCTTCCAATGTGCCAGTATCCAAAAACGAACGAATGTGGGTCTTACTAAAAGAGCATTGATAGTGTTCGATTCTTACATGGGAAATATGCCGGACTTTTCTATCCATGTTGTCTCTTACAGAATTTGTAAAACAAATCTCCTTTCCTGCTACATTTTGAGCAATATCACGCATCAGATCGTGTATCTTACATCTTGAAAAAGCATCTCCGCATCAGAATAGCAAAATATTCCTCAACAGCGTCTTCCAAACTTTGACCATCATCTAATGGAACAACATAGCCCTGTGCCAACCAAAGATTTATCAAAATCTCCTTCTGTATGACAGCGTCTTTTGGGAACAATGTACAATATGTGAAACAACTTTTGAGGGGCAATTCAAGTTGATGATAACTAAACATGAGTATAGGCATGATGTCCTTTTGGCTTTCTCTAGAGTTAAATAACCCAATCTTCTGAAATGATATCCATCTACTCTTGTCTTGACCATACAGAAGACTACCTGCCACTCTTATGGCAAGAGGGACACAGGCACATCCTTCAACAATCTCTCGGCCAATCTTCAACAAATCGTCGTGGGGGCTTAATTGTTCTGATCCAAATGCTAATTTCTTAAACAAGGACCATGAATTCTCCTTTAACAACCCTTGGAGTTCATATGTTCGACCACCTCCTACAATTTGGGCCGTCTTGTGCGACCGTGTTGTTACCACAACCCAACTTCCTCTCAGACCTCCCAATAAGAACTCTTCAAGCTTAAGCCAGTGATTGCGATTCTCAGTCCATACATCATCTAAAACGAGCAAGTATTTTCTGCTTGTTAATTTTTCTCGAAGTTTGCTTTGTAAACTTTCTATGGTAGATTCCTCATGCTTTTCACCAGTTGAAGCATAAATCTTACCAAGTATACTTTCTACATCCAACTGCTCCTGATCATGATCAGAGACACAAGTCCACAACCTCAATGGGAATGCACTTGTGACCCTTGGATCATTATACACCAGTTGGGCAAGAGCAGTTTTCCCTAATCCTCCAATACCCACTACACTGAGGAAAGAAACATCTTGTTGAACGGTAGAACAATTCAACAGATGACCTACAAGTTTCTCCAAGTCATCCTCTCTCCCAATGATACTACCCTCATAGATGTAAGAACATGTCTCCTCCCTCCTCCTCCTGATAGGCTGAGGATCAATACTAATGCCAAATTGAGAGTGATTTTTGGCAATAACATCTAACATCAATAGGAATATCAAGTATAAAAATGTATGGACTACTGTATAGTTTGACTACTTGTGCTCAGTTTAAGTCTAGTAATTAGTGTATACTATATAATTGCCTAAATAAATGCAAGTGGTAAATTAAATACATCAGTGCTTATATTGATGTCTTTAATTGTAAACTCATAGTTTTGATGGTTGAGGGAGCCCCAATTCATCTCATTGATAGACATAATTCATTTATCAAAGGGAAAAGCCTAATATCACCGGCATGAAATAGTGAAGTAGAGATTTTGGGGCAAATCCCTATCTCAACTCTCAAGTAGCGGTTTTACTATGACAAGTAGAAAAATTTATGTATTTACGGAGTAGAATTTTGCAATTTGATAAACAACAATCATTTATCAACGAAATGAACTTAGATGTTCTCTTAATCTGTATATTCATTTTTCATAGTTTTTGATCCATTTGATGGGTATTTTTGTTGATTTACAAATTATGTAATTTTTTTAGAGAACACAAATTGTCACTTAATTTGCAATTAACTTTGAATTACCCCATCTTATCATCATAAATAAACCCAGCTTGTTTTCCGATGAGCTACTTTCTAGGTGTTCTTTCTATTCCTTCAATTTACAATCAGATTTCCAAATTTGGATAAAAAGTACTAGTACTAAATAAAGGTAAGAGGAGAGAGACTAAATGCAGGATTTTCTCCAGAATTTGTCAGCTGACCTTTAAATTTGACAAAAAGTTGTATAATTATCGAAATTTGAATTAAAGAATCGAACTCATATTAGTCTCCATTTTCTGGCAACAATAAGCTGCCGCCGGCGGAAATGTTGAAATACTTTGTTGACTCGAATGAACAATACAAGAGGGGGGGTGAATTGTATTGTAGAGGAACTAGGGTAATTTTTGCGGAATTTATAAAGGAACTCGAATAAAAACTAAAAGTGCAAAGAGAGATTTTACGTGGAAAATTTCTTGGCCCTAATCAAGAAGAAAAACCACGACAACAAGGGATTTTATACTCAACTCTTAATAATAATAGGGCAAACAACTTATTACAAATTAAGACTCTAAACTCAAGTTCCTCTACGAACTTAAGCTCCCTTCAACTGATCCCTCAATCAGTTGATCTTTCTAACTCTCTTTTTCTCCTTGCTTCACTCAAAGCAATAAACACTCTTAGAGTTTCCCCAAACTCTATCCCTATACAACTCAAAGATTAAACTCTAAATTGCTAAGTACAAGGACACTCAAGGACTTAAGTGGATTATAACTCTTTTGAAGACTAAAAGACTGTAATGCTCAAGTGTGTTTTCCCAACAGAATACCAATCCTATTTATACTAGAAAAGGGAAGTTAAAACACTGTCGTTTGCCTTAACTCCCACTAAGCCACAACTTCCATAAAACTAGGAAGTGCAGTTCGTGGGTGCTTGGGCAGCAAGCTAAAACTCTTTATAAGGAAGTGGTTTACGGCTTCCTATTTTCTCTCAACTTCCTTGACCAAGTAAAACAACCGTTTTTAAAAGTATTTTCCAAATCAGATTTTCCAAAATGATAGGATAGAATCAAAACAGAAAATCTTTTTAACTAACAAGATATTTTAACTCAAAAAGATATTTTCGAAATTAAATTAAAACAAGTTAAAATATGGAAAATAAAATCTTTAACAAATTAAATTAAATCCACTTAAATCCTATCAATTGACAATGTACTTAACATAAATACAAGAAGCCTAAAATAAAGATAAAATACATTAGACTCCTTCAGATACTATGAAGATTCGACTCTGGAGCTTCAGTTCATCACTAAAGGAACTTGACTTCTGATTGTCTTCTTTGTTCATCCATAGCCTATCCTTAGACCTTGTTCCATGCTCCATTCAGGCTCTAGAACTTCGTTGCATATATAAATCTGTCAATAAATCAAAGCTAATAGACAGAAGTTAAAACACTTAGGGTTTGCTTAGGTTCCTTGTGACATCATCAAAACTTAAGGTCAACAATATTCCCCCTTTTTGATGAATGACAAACCTAAGCAAACTCACTTAAAATAAATAGAAGACAATCAGTAACAAAAAGAAAATATACCTCTATTTAGATGGATGGAGAGCTTGTCAACAATTGAGTTTGCCTTTCTTTTCCCCCTTTTGGCGTTCATCAAAATTAATGCACATATATATCAAAACACAGCACCATTACAATGGTTGTGTCCAAAGCATAGAACAAAGCACATATAGGCAGAAATAGTATGCAAATAGTCATAAAGCAAGCAAGCAACATCCATATAAACAAACTGATGTTCCTCTAGAACATCAAAACAAAAGAAAATACCCTGTTTAATAGTTTACAGACCAAAAGAAGCAAAATAAAACAAGTTCAATCCGGACCAAGTTTAAAGATAAAAAGTTTTAGAACTAAGATAAACATAAAGATATCAAGCTTTAGGGGCGGAGGACTGGGTCTCTTCTTCAGCATCATTCACTGGCACCTCTTCAATGACCAAGTCCCCAGTTTCTTCAAAAGATCAGCCTGCCCCTGAGAGAGAGTTGATGTGCTCTGTTGCATTGCTGAGATGAGCTCTGTGGAAGCTTTTACCAAGTCAAACACTACCTTCTCAAGAGCTTCAATCCTCTGAATCAGACCTGGTTGGACATCAACTAGCTTTTGCACTGTCTCCTTGAGAGCTTTAAATTCCAAGGTGGAACTCACTGTGCTGAAGGCAGTAAAACCTGAACCTGTAGGAAATGATTTTTCAACAGATGTTTGAAGTATGCTCTGTTCCCCCTGAGAACCATCTTTCTCTTCAAGGATCCCTTGATCCCCTGGTGCACTGTTTCTTTCCTCACTCAGATCAACAACTGCAGCAGACTCAGCCTTGTCCTTTCCTTTTGGCCTAATTTCCAACCTAGTACTCTTTCTCTTCCCAGAGCTTTGAGTACCCTTTTTGTTTGACATCACAATCACCTCTTTCTTTTTCTGTTCTCCTTCTCCCTCACTGTCCTCTTCCTCCAACCACTTATCCAACTCTTCATCTTCCTTTTTCTTCAAACTACTCTCATCCTGTTTAGGCTTAGAAAGGGATTTGGAAAGGAATTGAGTAGTTCCTTCAACAACAGTTAGGTTTCGGGCTTCAAGAGTTTTGGGTTGGACATAATGGTTAGTTTTAAGCTTAAGGTATTCATAGTTTGTCATGGAGATTCCATATCTTTCAAGAAGAGTAATAATCAAATTTTCATACCCAACCTTCAAATGATTGGCAAGACAGGGGGTGAGGTGTTGGATCATCAACGATAGAAAATTTATCTGAATTTTATTTTCAAGGCAATACATAAGCACAACATCAAGGTGATTAGCCTCATGTCTATGCTGGGTTCTTGGGATGATAGCTAGGTGAACAAAAATAAATAGCAACTTTTGAATAGGTGAAAACAGATTATGGTTGGTTCGTACTTTGGAAGCTTTACCCCCAATTGACTCAACAATTTTTTCAATAGGTACGTCATCAACACTCAATTCAGTTTCTCCTTTAAAATACTCATCAAATCCCTCATTAGGAGTTCCAAACACAACAGCTAAATCATCATCATCAAAACTAATTTTCTTGTTTTTAAATTTGTTAATACACACACCATTCACATTCCTAAAATTCGCACAAAATTCCTTTAGAGGAGCATGAGCAAGCACATTGTCATAACATTCACTAAACAGCTTAATCCAATTTTGTGCTTCGAGAATATCAAGGAGTTCAGAGTACTTACTCGACTCGCACCACTTTAGGTTTATACAAAACCCAGGAATGAATCGTTCAGAGCTATCTTCAAGCCTTTTGACAGCAGCTGACTTCGATTTTTCCCCCTGAATTGGTTCACCAAGTTCCTCATAGTCCAATTCTTCTTCAACCTCGATCTTTCTCTTTTTCGAATCACTGCGAGCCATGGGTTTATTTTGGGGTTTTTCAACAGCGGCTTTGACTAAGGTTTCATTCTCTATGTCCATGGGTGATTCCTTTTGAGGTGAGGTTTGAATTTTGGGTGAGATTTCCATGGGAATTGGAGAGGTGTCACTAAAGATGAGTGTGTATTTTACGGAGTGAGGTGGTGAGGAACAATGGTTAGGGTTTGGTTTCATTATATAGTGGTGGAATTTAGAGAGGTGAATTAGGTCGGTGGAATGGTGTAGAAGGTTAATTGAATGGGGTAGGTGTCGATTGATGAAGGATGACACAAATACTTCTCACTTGGTCAGATTTAATTTTTACTAAGAGTGATTTGACAAGGAAAAGTCTAGAAGCTATGCTTGATCAGAAACTTAGAATTGAAAGCAAAGAGTCACGGGTATTTAATCAACAATTTTGAGGAATGAATTTGAAATTTAAAAGATAAACAATGTAGAATAATTCAAAATAAAAGATAATATTTTAAATAGATAAAATTAATTAACTGAATGAATTGAATGCAAAGAGTCACATAGTTTGTTATAACACAGACATGCCCAATGCAATTTGATTTCTTCACATACAGCCACAATCCCATATGCAATGCCATACATTCAAATGCTCAGGACTATGTTTTCACATATTCAGATTGTGTAAGACATACATTGCATACATATTGACTTATACCTTTAGGGGGAACTTGAGGTCTTCTTAACTCAATTGTATCATACCAAGTTCCATACACATCTTTTCAAATTTATCCCTGCTCAAAGGCTTAGTAAGAATGTCAGCAATTTGATTTTCTGTATCACAAAAATCCAATTTAATTAAGCCTTTTTTAACATTATCCTTAAGAAAATGATGCCTTATGTGAATATGCTTCACACGAGAATGATGAACTTGATCTTTTGAAATGCATATGGCACTTGTATTATCACAATAAATAGGAATGCAATTATACTTCATACCATAATCTCTTAATTGTTGTTTTATCCAAAGAACTTGGGAACAACAAGCTGCAGCAGCCACATATTCAGCTTCAGCAGTTGATAGGGCCACTGTATTTTGTTTCTT